GCGTTCTAAGGAAAAAGTGGTAAGTGTAGCAAATGGTATGGGCCTGGGGAATGGATCTATCACTTGAAATAAAAAATAAAAAAAAGTATATATATACAAAATAGAAATTATATATATTTTTCTGTTTATGCATGCACAACCTGCAGCAATGCTGAGGCCAGAACGCTTTCATACACAGGCTGTATAAGCTGATGGTTTTGAGGTCTAATAGACATCCTTTGGTTGCACAGTGATCTGATAAGGAATGGATCACCGCAAAGATTAGCGTGTGAAGGTCAGGAAGGAAAGATGGGATTTCTGAGAGCTATCCACTGAGCTATGAAAACTTAATATGAGCTCAAGGGATGTATAGTCTTCCCATGGCCTTAGACTTTTGGGGTGTTTTCCCAGTGCAGCTAGCTGAAGAAACATGGATCAAATGGCAGATATTGTAGTACTGGGACCTCAGTTATTGCAGATTACTTATGCTTATGGACTTCTATTTGTTAGTCATTACTCTCTTCCCCCTGTAACTTTCTTCATGCTATAAGAAATGTAATCAATACTCTTTATAGCAATCAAAGTTGCAAAAGAGTCTTAACATGTTCAGGGGTTTTTCTCTCACTTCAGTCAAACCTATCAGTTTGTCTCAAATGACATCTTTTTACTAGTAAATGTGTATTTTCTTTTGTTGTTGTTTAAACGGGGCTGGCTCTGATACACAAGGAGGAAGTGCTTCATACCCCTTCTGGCCAACTGTAGTCACTGTATTGACTAGTTTAGGAGGTCGTAGAGTCTACCCCATCTTAGCTGGGAGGGGGGATACTGCAACATGAGATCTTTAGGGTTAGGAGGAGGGGAAGGAAAACTGAGGAGCTCTTGGAAAACATAAGAGTGGCCATACCATGGTCTATCCACCCAGTGGCCAGTGCCAGAAGCCTCAGAGGGAAAGAACAGAACAGGGCAATTATTGAGTGAGCCATCCCCTGGCATCCAATCCGCCATCAGAAGTTTAGGGACACCCAGAGAATGGGGTTGTGTCCCTTACCATCTCGGCTAATTGCCACTGATGGACCTATCCTCCAAGAACTCATCTAATTCTTTTTTGAACTCCGTTATATTTTTTGGCCTTCACAACATCTCCTGGCAATGAGTTCCACAGGTTGACTGTATGTTGTGTGAAGAAATACTTCCTTATGTTTGTTTTAAACCTGCTGCCTGATAATTTAATTGTGACCCCCAGTTCTTGTGGTATATTAAGGAGTAAATAACACTTCCCCATTCACTTTCTTGACACAATTCATGATTTGCTAGAGGTCTAGCATATCCCCCTGTAGTCATCTCTTTTTCTAAGTTGAACAGTCCCAGAGTTTTTCATCTCTCCTCCTATGGAACCTGTTATATACCCCTAATTATTTTAGTTGCCCTTCTCTGTACCTTTTCCAATTCACTCTTTTTTTGAGATGGGGCAACCAGAACGGCACACTGTGTTCAAGATGTGGGCATACCATGGAGTCATATAATGGCATTCTGATATTTTTAATCTTATTTTATGTCCCTTCCTATTGGTTCCTAACATTGTTAGCTTTTTTCACTGCCACTGCACATTGAGCGGATGTTTTCAGAGAGCTATCCACAATGATTCAAAGATCTTTCTTGAGTGGTAACAACTAATTTAGACCCCATCATTTTGTATGTATGTTAGGATTGTTTTCCAGTATGCATTAGAGTAGTAACTCAGAGTTATGAACAGACTGGTCAACCATACACCTCATTTGGAACTGAAGTATGCAATCAGGCAGCAGCAGAGACCAAAAAAAAAAAAAAAGCAAATGCGGTACAGTACTGTACTAAATGTAAACTACTAAAAAAATTGAAAGTTTTTAAAAAAAAATTTGACAAGGTAAGGAAACTGTTTCCATGCTTGTTTCATTTAAATTAAGAATGGTTAAAAGCAGCATTTTTCTTCTGCATGGTAAAGTTTCAAAGCTGTGTTAAGTCAATATTCAGTTGTAAAAACAACTGTTTTCAGTTTTGGAAAAAACCCTGTAACATTTTGTTCAGAGTTACAAACCTTTCAGAGTTATGAACAACTTCCATTCCTGAGGTGTTTGTAACTCTCTTCTACTGTACTTTGTACTTAATCAACATTGAATTTCATTTGCCAATTATTGCCTAGTGACTCAGTTCTGTGAGATTTCTTTGTAACTTTTATAGTCAGCTTTGCACTTAACTACCGTATGTAATTTTATATTAGTGACACACCCCCAGGGTGCAATCTGGAGCTGTGGGACCGTTATGCCCCCTTAACTCTTCTATCTGGGCTGTCTCTCTCAATGCTGTGCTAGTGATAAGGAGCAAATCCTCCAGGTGCTGCGATCACTCAGCCAACAACATGCAGGGACATACCCAGCTAAATTGAATGAATTCTCTCCAAGCCACTCATGAAATATATAGTGGGAGACACAAGCAAATCCCCCTCCAGCCCACAGCCTTGCACCCCAGAAATATACTGTCTTACACTGCTCAAGATCTTTTCTTGAACAATGCAACCTCATTAATTAGTTTGACACTTCGTCAAAGGATATGCACTATCCTTTGTAATCTGAGCAGATTCCCAATCACTTCAGACAAACTCACTGGGAAGGATAAAACATTAAAATAAGCTTATTAACTACAGAAAGATAGATTTTTAAGTAGGGCTGTTGATTTAATCGCAGTTAACTCACGCGATTAACTCAAAAATGAATTGTGACTTAAAAAATTAATTATGATTAATCGCCGTTTTAATCTCACTGTTAATAGAACATCAGTTGAAATGTATTACATATTTTTGGATGTTTTTCTACATTTTCAAATATATTGATTTCAATTACAACACAATACAAAGTGTACAGTGCTCACTTTATATTATTTTTATTACAAATATTTGCACACTAAAATGAGAGAGAAAAGAAATAGTATTTTTCAGTTCACCTCATACAAGTACTGTAGTGCAGTCTATTGTGAAAGTGCAACTTACAAGTACAATTTTTTTGTTACATAACTGCACTTGAAAACAAAACAATGTAGAAGTTTAGAACCTATAAGTCCACTCAGTCCTTGTTCAACCAATTGCGAAGATAAACAAGTTTGTTTATATTTACGGTAGATAATGCTGTCTGTTTTCTTATTTACAGTGTTACCTGAAAAAGAATAGGCATCCATATGGCACTTTTGTAGCCAGCACTGCAAGGTATTTACCGTGCAAGATATGCTAAACATGCGTATGCCTCTTCATGCTTCAGCCACCATTCCAGAGAACATGCTTCTATGCTTATGGCACTCATTTAAAAAAAAAAAAAAGCGTTAATTAAATTTGTGACTGAACTCCTTGGGGGAGAATTGTATGTTTCCTGCTCTGTTTCACCTGCATTTCGCCATATATTTCTGAGTGATTGGCTGAACCAGAAATGGGACTGAGTGGACTTGTAGGCTCTAAAGTTTAACATTGTTTTATTTTTGGATGCAGGTCTTTTTGTACATAATTCTACATTTGTAAGTTCAACTTTCATGATAAAGAGATTGTCCTATAGTACTTGTATTAGGTGAATTGAAAAATACTATTTTGTGGGGTTTTTTACAGTGCAAATATTTGATATCAAATATAAATTGAGCACAGTACACTTTGTATTCTGTGTTGTAATTGAAATCAATATATTTGAAAATGTAGAAAATATCCAAAAATATGTAAATAACATTGTTTTAACAGTGTGATTAATCACGATTTTTTTTTTTTAAATCACATGACAGCCTTTGAATGGGAGCTGTGGAGGAGGTTCCTTGGGACTTAAGAGGGAAGGAGTTTTACTCCCGATATTTCCTAATTCCAAAGGCCAATGGGGGGGAGGGGGACAGGTCTGACCTATTTTAGATTTGCACCATCTCAGTGGCTACCTTGAGAAGCTGAAGTTCCGCATGGTCTGTCTGGCCACCATCATCCCCTCCCTGGATCTGGGGGACTGGTATGCTGCCCTCGACTTGAGATGCTTTTTTCAGTGTCTCGATTTTCCAAGGCCGCAGGAGGTACTCAAGTTCACTGTAAACCAGATTCATTACCATTTATGGTTCTCCCATTTGGCCTTTTGGCAGCTGTGAGGGTGTTCACGAAATGCATGGCAGAAGAAAAGGGATACAAGTCTACGTGTACCTTGATGATTGGTTGGTCAAGGGCTGCCTGGGCCCAAGTGGAGACCAGTATCCTTTAATTGATCTTTCAGATGTGGGGCCTGCTTATAAACTAGCAGAAGTCTACCCTGGTGCAGAGAATAAAGTTTGTTGGAGCTGTGCGCAGTTCCTCCCAGGCAGGGTTTTCCTTCTAGAAATCTGTTTTCAGGCAATGGGGTCATTGATAGTGCAAGTCAAGGCCCACATACTCATGACAGCCCACTTCTACATCAGATTGTTAAGCCACATGGCCATGTGCGCATACGTAGTGCAGCACGTAAGGCTACACGTCATACCCCTTCAAGCATGGCTGGCCTCAGTGTACTCACCGAGCTGCCATCACCTGCACTTAGTTCTCGTATTTCCTGCCCTGGTCCTTGCCTCCCTCGACTGGTGGAAGGACCCTCTGTTGGTCCGCTCAGGCATCCCCTTTGCCAGGACCCAGCCCTTGTTATCCCTAGTTTTGGATGTGTCAACTTTAGGATGCAGAGCTCACCTAGGGCACCTCAAGACACAGGGCCTGTGGTCCCCAGAGGAGCTCTCCCTACATATAAACATCAGGGAGCTAAGAGTGGTCAGCCTGGCCTGTCAAGTGTTCTTACCCCACATCGCAAACAAGAACGTGCTAGTGCTCACAGACATTATGGCAGCCATGTTTTACCTCAACAGGCAGGGCGGGGCTTGCTCTTCCTCTCTGTGCCAGGAAGCTATCTGCTTGTGGGAGTTCTGCATAATGCATTCGATCCATCTCGAAGCGTCTCATGTTCTGGGAGCCTGAAACAAGCTGACAGATCACCTCAACAGGTCTTTCTCCAGTCACCTTGAGTGGTCCTTTCACTTCGATTTAGTAAGGGTGGTTTTCAAGCGATGGGAGACTCCCCAGGTAGACCTGTTTGCCAGAATAGGAAGTGTCACCAGTTCTGCTCCCTGCAAGGCCACAGACCAGGCTCACTCATGGATGCTTTCCTGCTCCCTTGGATGGGGAAACTGTTCTGTGCATTCCGTCCCCATTCCTCTCGTGCACTGTCATGCTCTGTCCCACTTGATCTTAAGCAGAAGTCATTCTCGTAGCCCCAGCCTATCCCCACCAGAACAGGTTCGCCTTCTGCTAGGCCTTTCCATAACAACTCCAATGCTGCTTCCTCTTCTCCCAGACCTGATATCCCAGGACCACGGTCAAGTGTTCCACCCAAACCTCAACGCCCTCCACCTGACAGCTTTGGAAGCTCCATGGTTACATCCCGAGGAGCTGATCTGTTTGGAGCAAGTCTGCTAGGTTCTGCTATGTAGCAGGAAGCCTTCTACCAGAGCTACATAACTTGCCAAATGGAAGTGTGTTTTTCCATTTGGTCTTCCCAGCCAGTTCTCTCACCCATCTGATCGTCACTGCAGACTGTTCTAGAGTATTTGCTACATCTGAAATAGCAAGATCTGGCAATTTAATCAGTTAAAGTACACCTGGCAGTGATTTTGGTGTTGAACATCTCAGTGGGTGATCAGTTGGTTTTCTCGCATGAGATGACCACTTGTTTTCTCAAGGGCCTAGAAAGACTACTCACAGATTTGGGAGCTCATCAAACTGTGGGACCTAAACCTGGTCTTGTCAAAACTCTCAGGCCCCCCATTTGAGCAACTGGCAACATGCCCCTTGTTATATCTTTCCTGGAAGGTGACCTCTCTGGTGGCTATCACTTTGGTAAGGAGGGTTTCAGAGATCAGGGCCCTTATGTCAGAACCCACGTACATGGTCTTTTTTAAGGACAAGGTACAGCTTTGTCCTCATCTTGCGTTCCTCCAGAAGGAGTTTTTGCAATTTCAGGCTATTTTCCTGACTGTTTTCTTTCCAAAACCACACCCAAGCAGAGAGGAGCAACGTCTCCACATCCTGGACATTAGACGCTCCCTTGCTTTCTGTATTGAGATGACAAGACTCTTCTGTAGATTCACATAGCTTTTTGTGGCAGTAGCGGACAGGATGAAGGGCCTTCCTATTTCAGCTCAGAGGATTTCATCCTTGATAACATCTTGTATCTGCACATTCTATGAGCTGGCGAGGATCCCACCACTGGCTATAGTGATGGCCCATTCTATAAGGGCGCAAGCTTCCTCAGTGGTGTTCCTGGACCAGGTCCCGATCCAGAACATCTGCAGAGCGGGGACTTGGTCATTGGTACCTACATTTTTGTCCCACTGTGCAATCATCCAGCAAGCTAAAGATGATGCTGGGGTTTGGTCGAACTGTGTTGCAGTCCGCATGTCCATGAATTCTGATCCTACCTCCTATGCTTGGGAGCCACCTAGCTTGGAATGGACATGTGCAAGCACTCAAAGAAATAAAAAAAAGTTATTAACCTTTTCATAACAGTTGTTTTTTGAGATGTGTTGCACATGTCCACTCCATGACCCACCCTCCTACTCTGTCAGAATTGGCTGGCAAAAAGGAACTGAGGATGTGGGTCAGATGGACCTCTTCTACCGGCACATGAGTGCAGGGCACCAGAGGGTGCTAGAACTGAACCAATGGATACCACTGAGGGAAAAATTTTTGGTGACCGTGCATGCGCACACCAAATATGGAATGAACATGTGCAACATATCTTGAACAAGTTTAGTAAGTGGTTTTTTTCTTTACTACTGGCTTCATCATGCACCACTGTTAACCAGTAAGCATTCCAAGTGTAAGTTCACTATCACATTGAGGATGGTTCTGTCTTATAAGCGTCAAGGTTTTTTCCATGTTAATCTTACTCCTGTTGTGTGTGTAACCTAAAACTACATCTTCCTGGTAATATCTGTACTAGCTGCCATATTTGTTATAGGCTGTCAAGTGCCCCTAACAAGGCAAAGGAACTAAATAGAAACAGATTTGTGATATCCAGACTTTCAACGTGTGCAAATATCCTATGACTGCAACTTTTTGAACAGTAACACAAGCCCATTGTGTGTCCTTGTGACAAATACTGGGAATATAACCTCCAAAACTACATATCTTTGAGTGGGTTAAGCTAAATGAATGTCCAGTTGCCACAAAATAGGTGGATTCACATCCACAACATGAATAGTCTTGATTTGAATGTTGAAGTTTCCTATTCTGTTTGAATGTTTTTGGCTGGAATTAACTTTGCGCCTAGGATTTCTCCATAGGAAAACAATATAAAATGCTGAGTCATTTACTCTTAAAACTTTAGTCCTAGGTCCTAAAACAAATTTGATACATACTTTTATTTTTGCTTTCTTATTTTGGAGTTCATGGATCTGGGCGAGTAGGGTAGTCTCTTACCCCTCCCACCTGCAATTAGTCTAACTTGGAATACCTTTGTATGACATTTTACACTGGAAATATGATGGAAAATTGGGAGTCATGTGTCTTGTCTCCCCTGCCATATAAGCAGTACAACCAGTAGCAGAATTAACTGAGCTTCAAAAAGTAATAGTTAAAACTCCTGCCCAGAGGAGTAATATGGCTGATATTACATAAAATAAGGAACCAAGCCTTTAAAGGGTAAATAGTTTTCGCTCTAGAATATCTGCCACCCAGCATTCTGACCCTCACCCAGGCTTGACCACACTACAGAATTAAGTCGACTTAAGTTGACGTACAGCTTCCACAGTAATTAAAGTGGTGGTTCATACCCACACTTTGTTCCTTCTGTCAGCGCTGCGCGTCCTCACCAGGAGCGCTTCCACCAACTGAAGTGGGGTATTGACAGCTGGAGCCCACAGCTGGAGGTATCAGCCAGGTGCTGAGCTCCAATTAAGTAAGGTAGTTAAGCATGTTTCCAGCTAAACATGTCTAGTCTCAATCTGTCTACTTCCTAAAAAAAAAAAGCACCGACTTCTTTTGTGGGGTAAGAGAGCACAAAGAGGGAGGTATGACAGTCTTGGGAGAAGCCTGGAGTTGAAGTGGGGATCATAAAGTGGAATGGAGGCATTGATATAAAAATAATCAGAGAGGAATCAGTCTTAAGGTAAATATTTGTGTTTTTTGCTGTGTGGAAGATTCTCTACATTAAATTGTTTTTGCTCCCACAGATTGATATAGAAATTAACGGAGACACAGTTGATCTTCATATGAAGCTGGGTGACAATGGAGAAGCTTTCTTCGTACAGGAAACTGAAGAAGAATATGTAAGTGTTTTGTGGTGTATGAAGAGTACATTGCTGAGTACATTGTTTAGTTAATTATATCCTGTTACTAGTGTTGTCTCATGTTCTCAATATTAAAATACAGCATTTTTAATGACTGGTTTTTTTTATTGCTGATTCATAACTTGCATTATTTGCTTGCAATAGTTCAATAAAATGCTGCATCTAACTCAGTTACTGGTGGCAGGAAGTAACAAATCCTCCTTAGCACACCTTGTTTTTCAGAGCTGTAATAGGAAGACTTGTTGCACTTTTCACCCTGTTTGCTTAGGACAATAATCTATCATTTTAACTTTAGGGTAATTTGTTGACTGTACAGACTGTGCAGTGACTATTTAACTACTCTGCAAGTAGTGCAAGTCACTTGTGTTACTGACCTCAGTATCAGTGTCTTTTGTTTACATTGGCGGGGTGCAGTTTCTTATCTCTGAATTGTCATTATTTACGTTGTGTTCCAAGACTAGGAAGTTATTGTAGTGGCTTGGCTTTCTGATACAGTTGTCCTCTGAATATCACCCAAGGCCTCTTGAGATTGTAAGCTTTTCAGCTCTTGATGCTTATACAGCTGTTGCCTTAAAAGCATTTAAGGTTTGTCTGGGGGAGTGGAGGAATCCCGGAGTAACTAGTGCAAAATAGTTACTGCTTAGAAAGTGAATTAATCTAATCAACGAAAAGACACTCTTTTAGTGCAGAACAAGACGGTCCACACAGAGAAGTTAGTGCAGAATAGCTATGGTATTTAAAATTTACACCCTACTTACTTTGCACTAACCTCCCTGTATAGACAAGCCCTTACTTTGTTTAGTACTTAATATATACTGCATTATATGTGCTTATGTCAAAGCTTGTCTAAGTTGATAGATATTTTGTGAATCATAAAGCCTCTTCCACATCCTGATCAGGGGCTTGGGGGGGGGGTATGTGTTGGGGGGGTCCACAGGCATTGGTATTTTTGATGGGAATAGGAGGAATATCAAAAGTAAACACTTTTTGGGCAATGAGATATAAACATATTAGATTATAAATGAATGTGCAAAGTCATGAAAACTTGCAAATGAACTAGCTGTTGGGGGTGGTGGTGGGAAGAGTAGCAGTTCATTTTTTGATGAAATAAAAAACACACCATAGAAGCAAAGTGGTTGTGAATCATTCACAATGGAAGGGGGAAAATCAACATCAAGATTATTAGTACCCAAAATAATAACTTGTGAAGAAGAACCATAATATCTAGGAAGAGAATGGAGACTCAGATTCTAACAGCAAAAAATTTAAGTACATCAGAAGTAGGAAGCCTGCCAAACAATCAGTAGGGCCACTGAATGATCGAGGTGCTACAGGAGCACTCAAGGAAGAACTGTGGAGACGTTAAGTGAATTCCTTGCATCAGTCTTCGCTGCAGAGGATGTGAGGGAGATTCCCATACCTGAGCCATTCTTTTTAGGTGACAAATCTGAGGAACTGTGGCAGATTGTGGTGTCAGTAGAGGAGGTTTTGGAACAAACTGATAAATTAAACAGTAATAAGTCACCAGGAACAGATGGTATTCACCAAAGAGTTCTAAAGGAACTCAAATATGAAATTGCAGAAGTAACAACTGTGGTATGTAACCTATCATTTAAATCAGTTTCTGTAATATGTGACTGAAGGGTAGCTAATGTGACACCAATGTTTAAAAAGGATCCAGAGAAAGTCCTGGCAGTTATTGGCCAGCAAGCCTAACTTCAGTGTCAGGCAAATTGGTTGAAACTGTAGTAGGAAGCAGAATTATCTGATATGCAAATGAACACAATTTGTTGGGGAAGAGTCAACATGGCTTTAGTAAAGGGAAATCATGCCTCACGAATCGATTAGAATTCTTTGAGGGAGTCCTCAAACGTGGACAAAGGAGATCCAGTGGACAGTGTTCTTGGACTTTCAGAATGTCTTTGACAAGGTCTCTCACCCAAGGCTCTTAAGCAAAGTAAGCGGTCATAGGATAAGAGGGAAGGTCCGTCCTTATGGATCAGTAACTGGTTAAAAGACAGGAAATAGGTAGGAATAAATGGTCAGCTTTCATAATGGAAAGAGGTAAATAGTGGTGTTCTCCTGGGGGTCTATACTAGAACAAGTGCTGTTCAACATACTTGTTAGGGGGCTTATTCCTTCACCCACTTACTTCCCTGGTCCTTCTTGCATGAACAGAGAGCAACAATACCCGAAGTCCAAAGGTGCAAACAATTCGATGTTTATTGGGGTGAACTTCCAGCAAGCATGATTCCAGTTTCCTTCCTTAGTGTCCCCCTTCCCAGCTCTGACACCACAGAGGCTTACACCTGTGTCCCTGTTCCCATTCCTGCCCTTAGCCAAACATGATTCCAATTTCCCGACCCCCATTCCCTGTTCCCATTTCCCCCACCCCACACCCACTCACTTCCTGACTGACTGCAGACTATATAGTAAAACTTGAGTTCTGCTTAGCTATACCTTAACCAATCATTTTCCTGAAATTTAACTAACCAATCCTAACATATTGTAACATGATTATTTAACCAATTATATCCCACCACCTTAATTAGTTTACACCCAGCAAAATTAATTATACAGCAAACAGAAACAATCACAGAACCAGACTGAGATTATACAGACAAACAATGGGGAAATGGGGACTACAGTGATAGAACAAACACAGAAATGAGGGTTTCACATCCCAGCTATTGATAAGTGAGTTCTTGCCAGACAGGATGCTATCAAACTAAGTTTCCTTTTACATTTTCTAAGCACTTCCCTTTCTCTGGAGGAGATAGGCACTATCAGGACAGGACTGTATTCCTAACAGCCCAATAGCACCTTATTTCAATGTGACTAGTTTGGAATGTGAGGAGGTGACCTGTCGCTTCCCAGCTTATGACTGCCTCGGTTGCTTAGCCAAAGGTCTTAGCCTAAGAACAGGGCCTCAGACTGTCACAGTAAGAGAAGGACCTTACGCTGGCAGACAGTGATTTTGATTCTTTCTTTTATATCTCTATAACTAGCCAAGTGATAAGAATAAGCCTAAATTCTTAGAGTACAGGCCTTTACAGACAGGCCTGAATATCTATATCCTAACAATACTCATAAATGATCTGGAAAAATGAATAAACTGTGAGGTGGCAAAATTTGCAGATGATACAAAATTATTCATGATCAGGGCTCTATGTTTGTCACAGAGGTTGTAGAAGTCATGGATTCCCCAGAAGCCCCAGGACCAGCTGCTCAGGCGGCCATGGGGACAGCCACAGTGGCCGCCGCTGCTGGAGTGGCTCTGCAGCCAGCCGCATCAGGTGCTGCTGGAGCAACCTGGGACCAGCTGCATCGGCTGCTGCTCTGGTGGTTCTGGCAGCTAGCCCCAGGGACCCCCTGAGCAGCAGCCAGTGCAGCTGGCCCCGGAGACCACCTGACCAGCGGTCCCGAGGGAGTGGGATCAGCTACATCTTGGTGGCTCCCGTCAGCAGTCCTGAGATGTCCAGAGCAGCAGCTGGCCCCCCGGGGCTTCCCTCCTCCATGGCAGTGGCCGAAGCGGCAGCGGGATCCCAGGGCCTCCCCTCCTCGGCGCCGGCCGAAGCAGCAGCAGGACCCCTGGGCTTCCCCCCCCCCCCCAAAAAAGATTTAATCAGGTATTTATGGTATAAATTTAAGGTCTTGCCCATGACCTGTCCATGATTTTTGCTAAAAATAACCATGATTAAATTGTAGCCTTATTCATGAAGTCCAAAGCAGACTGCGAAGAGGTACAAAGGGATCTCACAAAACTGGGTGGACTAGGCAACAAAATGGCAGATGATAAATGTGTTGATAAATGCAAAGTAATGCACGTTGGAAAACATAATCCCAGCTAAACACACAATGATGGGATCTAAATTATCTGTTGCCCCTCAAGAAAAAGATCTTGGAGTCATTGTGGATAGTTCTCTGAAAACATCTGTTCAATGTGCAGCAGCAGTCAAAAAAGCTAACAATGTTAGGAACCATTAGGGAAGGGAAAGAAAATAAGACAGAAAATATCATAATGCCACTATATAAATCCATGATCTGGCCACACCTTAAATACTGCATGCAGTTCTGCTTGTCCCATCTCACGAAAGATATATTAGAATTGGAAAATGTACAGAGAAGGGCAACAAAAATGATTAAGGGTATGGAACAGCTTTCATATAAGGAGAGATTAAAAAGACTGAATTTTCAGCTTGGAAAAGAGATCAGTAAAAGGGGATATAACAGAGGTCTTTATTTACTCCTTCACATAACATAAGAGCCAAGGATTACCCAATGAAATTAATAGGCAGCAGGTTTAAAGCAAACAAAAAGGAAGTACTTCACACAATGCACAGTCAACCTGTGGAACTTGTTGCCAGCGCATGTTGTGAAGGCCAAAACTATAGTGGTGTTCAAAAAAGAATTGGATAATGTCATGGAGAATAGATCCATCAGTGGCCATTAGCCCAGATGGTCAGGGATGCAACGCTGTGTTCTGGGTGTCCCTAGCCTCTGATTGCCAGAAGCTGGGAGTGGTCACTCAATTGCCTGTTCTATTCATTCCCTCTAAAGCACCCTGCATTGGCCACTGTCAGAAGCAGGAGACTGGGCTAGATGGACCATTGGTCTAATCCAGTATGGCCATTCTTGTATTCTTAATATAACACACAACATGACTAAATACAAAACTGAAAGCAGTTCTTTTGCAGACAGAGGCAGAGAGCAAACGAGTCACTGATGGGAACTGATCAGTCAAAAGTTTAAAAAACCACCAACCCAACAACCACTTCCTAAATGTCTGGGACAGGACTTTAACACAGCTGTTGTGCTCAATATAAACTGAAACCAAGTTATAAAACAATAGTTAATCCACTACTGCCTATCCTGTCTGTATAACAGTGTTCCAGATAACTATTGGTATGTACAGGTACACATAAAGGTAACAGAAAAAGTAGTTGCAGGGCTGAGAATAGAATTGAGGAGTCCTGGTTTCTAGTCTCGTCTAGCTAAAATATTTGATATTTCCTCTGTTTCAGCTGCTCATTCTGTCTCACCAACGCTTAGTTTTCAGTTTTCTTTTAAACTATGCCAAAGTGTGCTTGATGCACAGACAGCCACTGGACACATCAGCCTCTTAATAGGATAACTCCTTTCCAAGTGGTTCAGATTACTAACACTTTATACATGTATACAGAATATTCATAAAGTTCAAGACCTGAAAAGGGCTGCCAAGATACTCAGAAAGCTGGGCAATCTGGTTACAGATCCATTTTATTATTTGGAAGAAGCATCTGCATCATGATAGGAAAGGCTATTGAACCTCTTACCTTTTTTTGCTGTAAAATGTTCAGCTGAGAAATGGACATGAAGCTGTTTTGGATCTTAGTGGAGATCCCTGATGTCCTGCTTTCAGGAATACTGTAATGTGACTTGTACACTTCATTTCTTAAATAAGATCTTTGAAAGTATCCTTTGTTTTTATTTTACTCCTGACTTCAATCTCAAAGCAGCATACTATCATTATTAGGGCTGCCAAGTGATTAAAAAAATGTATCGTGATTTAAAAAATTAATCGTGATTAATCATGCTGTTAAACAATAAAAGAATACTATTTATTTAAATCTTTTTGGATGTTTTCTACATTTTCAAATATATTGATTTCAGTTACAACACAGAATACAAAATGTACAGTGCTTAATGCATATTTATTTTAAATTACAAATATTTGCACTGTAAAAACAGAATAAATGGTATTTTTCAATTTCCCCATTGCAAGTGCTGTAGTGCAATCTCTTTATCATGAAAGTTGAATTTACAAATGTAGAACTATGTAAAAAAAAAAAAAAAACCCGAAAACCTGCATTCAAAAACAAAACAATGTAAAACTTTAGAGCCTACAAGTCCCCTCAGTCCTCCTTCTTGTTCAGCCAATCGCTCAGACAAACAAGTTTGTTTACATTTATGGGAGATAATGCTGCCTGCTTCTTGTTTGCCTGTTCTCACTGTCAGGTGATATTGTATTTACATGGCACTGTTGTAGCCAGCGTCTCAAGATATATAAATGCCAAATACCCTAAAGATTCTTATGTCCCTTCATGCTTAAACCCATCATTCCAGAAGACATGCGTCCATGCTGATGCGGGGTTCTGCTCAATAACAGTCCAAAGCAGTGCAGACCAATACATGTTCATTTTCATCATCTGAGTCAGATGTTATCAGCAGAAGGTTGATTTTCTTTTTTGGTGGTTCGGGTTCCACATAGGAATGTTCTTTTACGACTTCTGAAAGCATGCTCCACACCTAGTCCCTCTCAGATTTTGGAAGGCACTTCACATTCTTAAACCTTGGGTCGAGTGCTTTAGCTATCTTTAGAAATCTCCCATTGGTACTTTCTTTGTGTTTTGTCAAATCTGCACTGAAAATGTTCTTAAAACAAACAACATGTGCTGGGTCATCATCTGAACTTGCTATAACATGAAATCTATGGCAGAATGCAGGTAAACCAGAGTAGGAGGCATACAATTCTCCCCCGAGGCATTCAGTCACAAATTTAATTAACACACTATTTTTTTTAATGAGTTCATCAGCATGGAAGCATGTCCTCTGGAATGGTGGCTGAAGCATGAAGCAGCATACGAATGTTTAGCATATCTGGCATGTAAATACTTTGCAATGCCAGCTACAAAAGTGCCATGCGAAAGCCTGTCCTCACTTTCAGGTGACATAAATAATAAGCAGGCAGCATTATCTCCCGTAAATGTAAACAAATGTGTTTGTCTTCGCAATTGATTGAACAAGAAATATGACTGAGTGGACTTTTAGGCTCTAAAACTTTACATTGTTTTGTTTTTTGAGTGCAGTTATATAACAAAAAAAAAATCTACATTTGTAAGTTGTACTTTCATAATAAAGAGATTGCACTACAGTACTTGTATGAGGTGAATTGAAAAATACTTTTTCTTTTATCATTTTTAGAGTGCAAATATTTGTAATCAAAAATAATAATATTAAGTGAGCACTTTGTATTGTGTGTTGTAATTGAAATCAATATATTTGAAAGAAGAGCTCTGTGTAAGCTCGAAAGCTGGTCTCTCTCCCAGCAGAAATTGGTCCAATAAAATATGTATTACCTCACCCACCTTGTCTTGCTAATGAACACTTCTTATTAATATTACAGTAATGCCAAAAACATACTAGGCACTGTATAGAAAAATGATGCGATTGTCAGTGTCAGTTTCAGGGTAACTGGGACCTGTATTCCCACTCCAGGGTCCCTTGAAGACAGCCACTTAATGATTTCCAGCTCACAGCCATCCCCTCTCTTAGGCACAGATGCATGTCTCATTTCATGCTGATTAGGGTTTTTCCAGGCTGCATGGTTCCATGCCCACACTGATCTCTCCAGCAAGCCAGGCTGCCTGAACAGGCCAGCACGTGCACTTTGCTTTCTCTCCAGAGGTTTGACCAGTGTATTGCTCACAGTTGTTAATTACCACACAACTTTCTAAGCAAGCACATTTATTTTTAAAGTCAAAAATTTACAGAAAAGCAACACAACGTGCGTGCTAAAAAGCTTACTGGAGGTCAGCCCTAACTCCAGCGTGCTGTGGTAGTGTCAGTTCTTCAAAACCCACAACTGGGTTTTCACCTTGGTTCCAGGTTCATAACTGTTTCAGATTCAACTAGAACCCAGGCTGGGCAGTTCAGCCATTTCTTTAAACAGCTCAGGCCTTAGATCTCCACCCTCTGGAAAGAGGGCCAGATTAACCTTTGTGGGCCTGGCACCAAACATATTTGTGGGCCCCCATGGAAGCAAAGGGGCATAGTGTGTGAGAGGGGGGTTAGCCCCCGGAGTAAGGGGCTGGCCGGCTGCAATGGGCCTCGGCGTGGCGGGGGTGGCCCTACTCCGCCCAGCTGAATTTGAGCTCCCCGTTTACAAACTGGCAGCCACCAGACGCATGCTGGCCCTGTGCTGCCAGAGCGCCGCCCTAACTCCTTATGCCCAGCAACACCTCACCACAACTGCACACCACCACCTCTGCTCACTCGCCCACCCACAGACACATACCCCCTGTACCTCTCCACAGCCCCACCACCACACCTGCCCAGCACCCCAACACACACAGACCCCCTGCCACTGCCCAGCACCCCAACACACACAGACCTTCCCTCCCCACTGCCTAGTGCCCCTTCCAAAGATCCTCCTATGCCCAGCACCCCAACATGCACAGACCTCCTGCACTGCCCAGCACCCCCCCAGAGACGCACTCCCCCATGCCCAGCTGCACTCACCAGCCCTGCTGGAAGGTGATTGTGTCCGCTGGGCTGAGCTGGCAGTGCGGCTGGGGCCGGTCACCGGATGTGGATCCTCAGGATCAGTGTGATCAGCTGAGCTGGAGCCAGGCCTGGCCAGGTTGCGTTCCCTCTGGACCCACTTGCCTCGTGGGGCCTGGCTGAGCCCCTGTTCTGCTCCCCCACCACAAACTGGCTGAGACAGCCAGCCTCTGCACTGGTCCCAGGTGGCTTGGCTCCTGGGTACGCAGGTAGGGTCCCCTGGGTTGCAGACAACAGAGACTGCTCAGAGCTGGAGCCACACTGGGGAGCAGGGTATATCCCTGGGACGTGACTCCCGAGAGCCCCACAGCTGCACCCACCGGCCAGCAGCCCTTCCCAGACCACATAACGGAGCCCAGCTGCTTGTCGGCGAGCCCCCTACAGGCGAGTGGGACCTGCTGGCTTCGAGCTGCTCACACAGCAGGGCCTTGGTGCTGGGCTGACCCGGGCAAGGGGCCAGACCCCAAGTCCATAATAGGCCCCTTCCCAGTGAGGGCCTGGTGCCATTGTAAACCTGCTACTGTCTGGGAACAGGTAATCAGCAAAGACCCACACCTCAGGACATATCTTCAAAAGCCTGGATTTCTGCATAACCAGAGGTGTGAAATTTGCATTAACCTCTCCCTAGGTATTCCCCAAAAAATCTACTTCACACTTATCCTAAAAGTTCATTCTTGCCTGGCATATTTTCAGTATAGCCCTTAATTCCCAGGCCTTACATCATACCCCCACCACGTCTCCTCCAAGAGGTTACACACAATTCCAGCCCACAAGTCGTAAATTTTGCCTTTAGTACAGTGGACCTCAAAGGTACTTAAATTAATTTAAATGAAGTCTCCCAGCAGTCAGTCATGTGGGGCAGTATTGCTGGTCAAGCAGGAAATTTGCCATATCTGCATCAGTCCTTGATGCTGCTCACCTCTCCCACCCCACTGCATCCCCACATTTATTTAACCTTTTGTTATTCTGTTTGTGTCTACATAATAAATGTATCTGCTTATTTATTATTCCCCTTGTTTTGGTTAGGAAAAAGTTCCTGCATATCTGGCAACCTCCCCAATAATTACTGAGGATCAGTTCTTTAAAGAGATTGAAGATCACTTGCTGAAGTCAGGTGAAACTGAAAGGACATGTCAGAGCTCTGAAGTTACACACGTCATGGAAACAGAGACTGTGTTCATCTCAGGATCTGTGAAGAAAAAAAAGCGAAGAAGAAAGAAATACAAACAAGATAGCAAGAAGGAAGATCAGATCTCTTCTGGGATTGAAGAGATTTTTGAAATAGAAATAAGCTCTGATGACGAGAGAGGTGTTCAACATCTGAGGTAAACTGTTAAATATGTACTGAATTCTTTCATGTGGTATCACTAAGGCTTTGTACTGTGGCTTGTGTATTAACCTCTTGTCTTATGTAAGGTACCCTTGATAAGGGTTATCATTAAGTTATAGAATGTGGAAGTCCAAGAGTTCTTTCCTTAAAAATACAAAGAAATTATATTTTTAATCTTGACTTCTTCCAGAACTCTTCAGAATCTTTCAGAATTGAGCAATTTTGAATCCCTGAGCAAATGCCAAATCTTGTTTAAGCTAGTGTCGTCCATCAAAATTATCACTCATGTCCCTAGCAATCAGTCCTGTGGGGCTGGTCAGGCTGTCAACACACTACAAAGCATGCTTACATAATGCAGTTCCTGGCCAGTGGGAGCTGCAGAGCCAGTACTTGGGGCAGGGGCAACATGCGGAACCCTCTGGCTGCCCCTTCGTGCAGGAGCCGGAGGGGGGACACACTGCTGCTTCCAGGAGCCAAGCGGGGCAAGCCCCCAACCTCATTCCCTGGCCGGAGCTCGAGGGCTGAATTACAAGGTCTGATGGGCTGGACGTGGGCCGCAGTTTGCCCACCCCCATTTTAAGGGCATCAGAATTTTGCTTTAAGCAAACAGAGATGCAACTTTTAACTGAGGCAGCTGTTGTTCTCCCATACTAAGTATATCTGAAAGAATGTAGGTAAAGTAAGCAAGTGTTGTGCAATATGCTACCGCACTGGTGTGTACTATTCAAATGTCTCAGTTCCTCATCTCTGGCTGGCACCATGCGGCTTGTAGTGTACCTAAAACCCTCTAGAATAAACTCAGTAGTATCAAATACGTATGATCCATTGGACTCCCCAAATTAGACTCCCCATCAATTAGACTCCCCAAAATTAACTTCTGTAATTCAAACCAGATTTTCATTTTTAAGTGCTTGCAGGTCCTTCTGGATTATTGCTAAAGAAAGAGAACTACCTCCCTCGTATATATTGAAATGAGTAAGCTATCAGCATCGGTAAGAAGAACAGGAGTACTAGTGGCACCTCAGAGACTAACACATTTATTAGAGCATAAGCTTTCGTGGGCTACAGCCCACTTCATCGGATGCATAGATTGGAACATTTAGTAAGATAGATATATATACATACACACACATACAGATAAGTTGGAAGTTGCCATACAAACTGTGAGAGGCTAATTAGTTCAGATGAGCTATTATCAGCAGGAGAAAAAAACTTTTGTAGTGATGATCAAGATGGTCCATTTAGACAGTTGACAAGAAGGTGTGGGGATACTTAACTTAAAGAAATAGATTCAATATGTATAATGACCCAGCCAGTCCCAGTCTCTATTCAAACCCAAGTTAATGGTATCTAGTTTGCATATTAATTCAAGCTCAGCAGTTTCTCACTGGAGTCTGTTTTTGAAACTTTTCTGTTGCAAAATTGCCACCCTTAAATCTTTTACTGAGTGGCCAGAAGTTATATTGAAATGGGTAAGCTATCAGCATCAGTAAGTTTCAGTAGAATTCATTTTGGCATCTGGAATATAAAAATGACTGGAGCTGTATACTTGCTTAAAGCCCATCAAAAAAAATTAAACCAGTTTATTTTCTATCCTATCCTTTATATTAGGGGCTGCAGTTTTGTGTAGAAGTCGATTCTTTAGGTCTACGCTTGCGGAAGTGTGTAGACATTGCATGCTCAAACAGAATGGGTATAAATAGCAGTATAGATGCTGAGGCACCGCTTAAACAATTAGTGTATATACCCTACATGGCTCTCTACGCACTCAAGCAGTGCCTCCCACATCTACACTGCTGTTTTTTAGCAGCATAGTGTCCCATTACCAGAGCCTTTCCTTGCTGTAGTGAAAGACTCACTCAGTGGAGAGAGGCTCTGGTAGGGGGGAGGCAGCAGGAAAAGGCTCTAGCAATTTCCTACTGCTAGAGCTATTTTTCACTCCCCCCCCCCCCCCCCCCCGGAGGTTTTCACTGCCATGTGTAACTGTATGTACGTACCCTATATGCTACTGCAAATTTAGGCAAGGCCTTGGATTGTTTAACAGTAGGAGGGGAGTTTGTTTCCTGGATTGAACTAGTTCATTACCACACCATGAAATGGTTATATTCAGTATTTGACTGTGTTTATGTTAGAGACCTACTCTGGGACCTGAAAGAATGATAAATACCCAGCCTGAAAACATAGGAACTATACAAATTGTTCATTGAAGCAGAACTGGTAGTTGGTTGGGATCAGGAGGAAGGTCTTTAATAGGATGAGGAAGTGAATGTCAGTATAGGAAGAGAACGTGGCTGAAAAGAATCTTGTGTTCCTAAACACAGACATAAACTTCAAGGCCAGAAGGGGCCATTATGATCATCTAGTTGACCTCCTACATATCTCACCCATGCTCAGAATCTCACCCACTCAATCTCCTATAATAGACCTGTAACCTCTGACTGAGTTACTTATGTCCCCAAATCTTGATGTAAAGACTTCAAGCTACACAGAATGCATCATTTACTCTGGTTCAAACCAGCAAGTGACCCATGCCTCATGTTGCAGAGGCAGGTGAAAAAATCCCCATTACAAATGCAGAAAGCAAATTTTTCCTGTAAGTAGTTCTCCCTTTCCCTGTTTTTCTTTGCATTAGGTTAAAATACATTAAACGTACTAAAGTTCGAGGAACCTTAAGCCTGTAGTGGCCTTTTGGGAAACTGACTGCTGCATACCTTCAAGCAGTTGCTTTTGGTAATCATTGTTGATAATTCAAAATGTATCTCAAACTACTTGTTTGGAGGAGAGGCTAAAAGTTTGCAGGTTGGACTGAAGCAGCTGGTTTAATCAAAATTGTGACTAGTTGTAGGGCTTTTGGAGTATAAAAAGGCTATCTTTTTATCTAAGTCCTTTGAAAAATACAATAGAGATGAATTTTTTTTAATAAAGCCAGAGTTTTGTTGTAAATGCATTTACAACAGGATAAAGCTAAATGGAATAACACGAGGGCTGCTATAAAGATACTGATGTTCAGTACTAACTACCTGCTAAATGTACTTGGTCTTTGGTTTTCTGCATCACAGCATAACCATGGATATATAATAAAATTCAGGACTGAACTCCATGAGACCCAAAATGTTGAGATGGTTTTGATGACCTAGCTCTATAATTGTAGATCTCCTATTTGTATCCCTTGTGTCTGCTCCCATGCTCTAACAAAGTAGGAAGTAAAATCCATACAGTAGGCATGACTTTGATTTTTTTTCCATCAAGTTACTAGATGGATCCATCTAAAATCATGGTTGTACAATTAACTCGGACAAAGTGTTGAGAGGCTTTGCTTTCATATAGAGTGGGGATGTGAGGACTACTCAAAATTATTATTATATTAGCAGGTATTCTAGAATGGTCATAAAATTCAAAAAATACCTTGGCACTTAAGTTTTTTTTGGAATGAAGTTACAGCAATGTATATTCCAAATAAACTTAAGTGCCAAGGTATTTTCTGAAAAATAAATAAATAAATAAACCACACACACACACACACACACACACACAAACTCTCCCTCTCCCCCTCTGCTCAGATTTAAAAATAACGCTAACACCAGAAAAGCCAGACAAGTGTTTCCAACAGAAAGGTCAAAAGTACAGCAGCAGGAAGGAACATTTTATCTATTTCTGTTCTTGTAAAGTGGAAAGGAGCTTTCTTCTGTTCTTCAGAAAAATCTGCTTCCAGTCACTTTTGTTACTTATCACAAATATAATTTTACTCTCTAAATGTAATAGTATGTTGTATGCATATGTTCTCAAAAGTGCCTAACTTAGCTATGTTACTGCCAACAGACAGTTACTGAAATTGTGATGTATGAAGCAGAAATAGAGGGTGTTGTGTATCTAGCATCTATGCATCTTTTACCATTTAAACACATTGTGCTTTTGACTGTTTTGTGTGGCTCCAAACTGGGCTGTTGTGCTTTAACAGCCAATTTATAGGTTTTCTTTTCTTTGACTATCTGAGCACTATCTGCACTATGTATGCAGTAAATAGAGACATTGGTTTAAAAACATTTTGTAGGTCAAATTAAATTAAACAATTTTCTATAAAGTGTAATATATTTACTTAGGGCATATCTAAAATGGATGAGGGAGGGAAAGAAATGGCAGCTGATGAATGTTGCAAAATAGATAACTGAGGGTGGTGCTGTTAGGGCATGATCCAAGGCTCACTGAAGTCACTCTGAGTCTTTCCATTGACTTCACTGGGCTTTGGACCACGTTCCTTGAGGCTTCCATATTAAAGGCTCCTACCCAAATAGTCTTCCTCACTGAGGACTGAAAGTTATTGTTCATCAGATGGTTCAGTGCCTTATGTGAAATGAGTTGGTTGTTTGTCTAGTTCCCTGGGAATAGATTCCACTTGGCACAAATGACTGCCCTCACAAATGGCACTACCTGGAAGTCTTGTTATATTTCCAATGTTTTTGTATATGTGTAGGCCAAACCATTCTCATTTTTTGAGGTCTTCAACACTGGATGCACTCATGAGCAGTGTGAGGAAGCATATTGTCACCACCAATATACTTCTTGTCACTAAGGCTGTTAATTTAGCACCTCTCATAAGTGGTAAATATTGTAAGTGAAACAGATACTTGCTTATGTTAGTAAGTGGAAAAATACACTTTCATCATAATATGTACCAGTGTTATCACCCACTAACTGTGGACTCTTCCCTATTTGGACTGAAAGATTTGTGCAAATGAGTGGAAAAATCATTGTGGTACATGGTATCTAGAGGGGGCAGTATAAATTTTCATAGGCTATACCTAGATTTTGGATCTCTCTTTTGGACTGAGAATATGCACTGGAACTCGTTAAGAAATGTTGTACAAAACTAGTATGGCCATTTCAACAGTGAAGGAGAAGCATTTTTTGTTTTTTCATATTAAACTTACAGCTGTTAAATCAAATTGCTTTTAAAATAATCATAAGCCAGACTTGTCATCATGGCCTAGTGTCCTTGCTTTAGTGTTTGGGTTTGTGCGGGGCAGAATAAACTGGCTTCGGAACAAGTTATTCATTTCTAAGAATAATTATCATATTCAGTATACTTTTTCCATTTAGGTCAGAGCTGTACAAAGCTCTGAATGTTTATAGATGCAAATATTTGAAAGGGGCTTCTATAAATTAAATGCAGTGATTAGTTTACAGCCATAGTGCCATGTGCTTTGATCTCATTAGCGCTCTTCAGCTAATCACAGTGGGGCCTGGTGCTGGGAAATTAACACAGTTACATCCTCTGCTCATAAATGTACTGGAGGCAACTAATAGTAGTATCCAGTGCTAGTCTGGCTAACTTCTAGGTCCTATGTGACTTACCAATAACTCTTTTTTTTTTTTTTTTTTTTTTACTGCATTATCCACAAACTAGGCTAATATTCAAAGAATACAGTGTCAAATCTATTTTATGTATTCCTTTGTTGTAGTATTCTAAATTAATAGATTTTTGGAAGCTTTTGGTTGCAATTTCAATTTTTGCTTACATACTAAACAGCAAGTTTGTGGAGGATGGCATCACTTGGTATATGTTTGTGAGATCTCTTAGATTAACACTAAGTTGTTTAGTTAAATATGTGGTAGCGGTCATTTTTAAACTTTGCTAGGGTCTTTTTTACAGTTATTAAAGATGGCTGTGTAGGCAAGAAAGCGGCACCTCCAATGATGAACTATTGCTCTTTCTTTAGTTATCTCTCAACCTATTAGTCTCTCTCAACTATGAATCTCTTCCTTGCTCTCTTTGACCTAAGATTTCTGGTACAAATAATTCAGTTCTTCTAGGTAAGTTGCCATTGGAGATCTGTCATTGACTCACTTAAAACAAAAATGGTTCTTTTGTCTCCACAGAGGATCCTCAAATTCTTCACCAAAGAGTGACGAGCAGAAAGAGCCTTTGATTTATCACTCCAAGGATCATTACCCTTTATCTGATGGAGACTGGTCCCCTTTGGAGAAGTAGGTCATTTTATGGTGTCCTCTTTCTGTATGATTTTGTACTCCTATGTTATGTAATGCACCACCTCTGTAACTTCTTCTGACCTATAAAACTACACAAAGAAAGGTGCTCAACATATGTGGCATCCAGGACTGCTTTTGCAGCTTAGCACGGGCTCAAGGACTCTACACAATTTATGTGTGGATTTATGTTTGCTGGAAAAAAAACTGTTGTACTTGTTTCATCCTTTCTGAATGAACAAAAGCTGCTGTTAAAGTTCACCAGGGAAAAAATAAAACTGTAGCTGATGATTTTATTCACACCTAATAAATTACAGGAAGAGGGCAAATTCCCAAGCACTCAACCTAAGGTTAGCCACAAATGTGTGTGTCAGAGTAAACATTTGTGAAGTGCCTAGGCTAACATTCATAATAACTTTTTTTAAGTTGAGTTAAATGACAAATTACTCAAAACAGGACCAAAAACTCTAGACAAACACCCAGTCCAGATTAGAGGAGCTGCCAGTAATATTTGCATAAAAGCTCCAGGTTTGTGGAGCTTAAGCCTTAACAGGTATTTGGCGTTCATCGGTATGGTATCTGTGCTCTTCACAATAATTAATGAATTTATCTTCACAACACAGCTGTGAGGTTGAGGAGTATTTTTCCCATTGTACAGATGTGGAATTGAGATAGACTAAGTTACTTGCACAAGATCACACAGCAAGTCTGGGGTAAAGCTGGGGACTGAATAAGTCTTCTGTTTCCTAGTCCAGTTCCTTAACCATAAAATTGTCCTTCCTCTCTAGTGCATGAGGCGCTCTACCCATTTTGGGTGAGAGAGCAATTTTGGTGGCTGAGGGATCCTTTAGCTGTTTAGGAGGGGGTGGCTGCTGGGGAAGGAGAAGGAAGACAGGGCTCCTACTCTTTGCCTTACAAAACCATTAGCAGGAGCTTTTAGCTTTTCAAGTGTTAACGTATACAGTCAAGAGGAGCAAGCCTCCAGCTTGTTCCAGTTCTTTATAGTGCAAACTGTGCATGTAGTGAGAGTAGCCCTTTCTGGGCCTGCTGGCGCAGTTTTTGTGTGCAGAAAACAGAGAAGCTTTCTTCAGTATCTCATCACTACCTGCTCAAAAGAAAGGAGTAGACAGGCCATCACAGAGGCAAGGAAAGATATCGATACTTACAATCAGTGCTGCTTGTATTGTTATTTTCTTCATTGTGCTACGGTCCATAAATCTGTTACAAGGGGTACTTCAGCCTGCTTGTGGTTTGGAGGCAAAACCACTCCTGTCAGTCGCTAGCAGCAGGCAGTGCCTCACCCACTGATGTTCCCTTCTGTTTTATCTGCCCCTGTAGTAACAGGCAAGCCTGATGAACAGTTGATTTAAAGTCTTGGCCCCTGTCAGACACTGTAGAAATGAATAGAGTTCATTTGGCAAGTTAAAGCAGTACTTGAAGTAAACAAGAGAAATACTTTTTTGCAAATGATAACTAACACAAGTGCAGGGTTCTGAGGTAAGGTCAATAGCTGCCTTCATTGTGAACTGCAGGACTTCCAACCACACCTATCTAAAGTTAGAACCCCAATTTGTGCCAGGCTTTTACTATTTGTTAGTAGATGGCTCTCTATAGCTGTAGTCAAAATGAGGTTGCTGGACACACTCCTAGTGGGGTTACTCGGTGGAGCTGTGCTAAAATCACAGAGACAGCTTTGTCCCATTCCCCATCTCCAGCAAGGATATGGAAATGCCAGGACACAAACGAAATCATCCATCATCAACTTCAGATTGGCGCAACACAGTATGACAAACAAGGTATCTCCATTTAATCCTGGAAATGGGTACCAGAAAGAGAATACAGAATCCATCAGTTGGAGTACAATGATTCATTGAAGTATCTGAGCACTGTTCCTTCCGTGGATAACAAACTTGTTCTTGTCATGATAGTTAATATGTCTGAAGGGTTTTCATGAATAATCTAGGAAGAACACCACCATCCCTCTTCTGTTCTGCGTGGAGCAAAGTTTCCTTTTACATTGCCAATCAAGGTGGAGAGGAACACCAAGACTTACATGACAGAAAATGGATTAAGCAGAGTGGAACCTGCACCTAGAAATATCCTCAGTTCTATTAAATCTGTTCGGTGGGATGGGGATTCACCTTTTTGCATCAGGAACAGCAATAAACTGCCCTGTGTCCTGTCCTTATATCATGACCTGGGATGTGAGGTATTGAAATTACTTCTTCTGAAGCTGGGAAATTGCTTTTTTCCCCCACTACTCCCCAGGACCATACAAAATATACGAAGGAGAGAGCAGCAACGATACTGTTGGCTTTCTGGCTGAAGAAGCTGGTGGTCTTGCATCTGATTAACTTAGCATTGGATCTTCTGATGAGTCTGCCACCAACCAAGTCCAGACAGATTCAAAATCAGTGCTTGGATGATTATCACCCTCATGATGATCTTGTGCACCATAAAAAGTCAATCAGTAGAATTTATTCTACTTCCTGGTGCAAAGACCAATGTTTAACTAGCACATTAAACCAATGAAACAGGACTTAAAGATCCTCCTAGAGGAACTCACTGTGGGTGTATGAATGTTCAAGCAAAAGGTCAAGTTTCTGTAGTATGTTATCATATTCAAGAAAAGAAAATCTTGTACAAATCCCAAGACTAAATGCTTCCTTCAAGTAACAATCCTTATTCCAGCCACACAAGGTCATAGGTCATTCTGCTATTTAGAACAGTACCCATATTGTAATAATAGGAAAGTAGAATTGAATTATCCTGCCTGTCAAAGTTGTCTCAATTGAAGGCAAATTCAAGGGGCAGGGCATTCTTATGGTTACCAGGTGTCTGGTTTTCAGTCAAAAGTTCAGTTGAAAAGGGGACCTGGCAGTGTCCAGTCACCGTGGGCCGGGGGCGGGTGGTGCCAAGTCATCAACCCACACCAGCCCCTGCTCAGCCAGGGCCACCTTTTGCCTACATTTCAAGTGCAGGCAGCAGGCTGCCTCGTTGCAGCAGGTTGCAGCTCCTCTCCCAGCCCTGGAACAGAAGAAGCCCAGTTTGGTGGGAGAGGGAAGTGGAGAGGATCAAATGATGAGGAAGTGGGAGGGGGGGAGAGGAGCAAGAGGGGGTGGGGGTTTGGGGGAAGAGGTGGAACCGGGTTAGGGCAGAAGAGGTGGGGCAGAAGGCGTCCAGTTTTGAAAAATTAGTAGGCATTCTCCTATCATCAGTGATTGAGGGGTGTGGTTTTGTCTCCAAGCTGCAAACAGGCTGAAATACCATTGTAATGTATCTGGACCTCATTATTCTAGAGAAACTTGCAAGTAAACACACAATATTTTCCCTGATTTGATCATATGCTCAACTAGTTTTGTCCCCAGTCATCCTTGATGGGGTGGGGTGTACTGTGTATGCTGTTGTGTACTGGAATGTAACCATCCATTTAACTTAACTTGCAGCAATAATAAGACTTTAGTGTTGGATGAAACTTTTCAGGCCTTTCAAACTGGAATGCTGTCTCATGTCTGGAACACAGGAATTTAAAACAGATTATCCTAAATTAACAGGAGGAAGTACATCTGTCTCATGATGGCAGCTAAATCATATAACTTCAAAAAAAAAAAAAGAGAGAAAATTGTGGGGGATTATACTGAGAACACTTCAAGTACAATGAAGAAATCTGTTTAGGCTGATCAGTACGTAAGCCCCTGTATGTGATTTTGGTTTTAACCTAATTTCTCAGTCTGAAAACCCAACTAGGCTTCTTGCCCTGTTGCTGAATAATTGAAGCTGTGTTAAACTAGAGAAAACTAACACAAATAGCTGCACAACAAATGCTTTTTAAATACTGTAGTTTTCTGTTTATTTTGATAGCCCTTTCTCCAACCCAGTCTGTCCTAAAAGTGATTCAGAACTAGAAGTGAAACCTGCAGAGAGCTTGCTTAGAGCTGAATCTCATATGGAGTGGACATGGGGAGGATTCCCAGAATCTACTAAGGTAAAGTTATTTACAGATGAATTTTATATACTGTCTGGGACTTTTAATGTGACTGAATTTTGTCTTCCTTAAAACTCTGCATTTCACATTAAACTATTGGGAAAAACTGAGCAATTGTGCATAATTCAACAGAAATACTGTAACATGAAAACAGCAACCTCTTGTGGCTGGCTAAGCTGAAGACTTTTTATTGATTTCAAAAGCAGGGCTGCAAAAATCTCCCAGGATGATCTTTAGAGTAAAAATCTGTAGCTCTCTAATTTGCTGCTAGAAACAGAAGATATTTTTAAAATGATGCATTAGATGCAATAGGAATGATCAAGTGTAGTAACCTTTTTTGTAAAAGATAGGACCAGGCTCATTCTAGGGGAATCCTGTGCAAATTCTAATATAGGGAACTTGATGGCTGCTCACCCTCATGTTGTGGATTTTTAGCTACCAATTGCAGCCTCACTTGGGAGTGGTCCTGGATAGGACAGGTGAAGAGATTTGCTGGACATGTACATCCTTAGGCAGTCCCCTTTTATAAGTGTTCCTTGCCCTCCCATGATAGAAGCCTGACATAAATTCACTGTTTTCCAAACTGAGGCAGGGAAGTATAATGTATCACCTTCTCTGTACCCTCAAGAGATGATGAAAGTTAGGCCCTAAACCCATAGACAGCTCTGTGTGAGTGGACTGCTGTTCTGATGCAGAGCCTCAGTGAAGTTTACTGGGCCCATTCATACAACAGTGCTTTTGGAAAAAGGCTGTACATGAATATTATTTTTAAAAATTGGATTATTATTGAGAGGAGACATTTTAACTATAAGCATCAGGGCGTAGCCATGTTAGTCTGTATCCATAAAAACAACAAGGAGTCCGGTGGCACCTTAAAGACTAACAGATTTATTTGGGCATAAGCTTTTGTGGGTAAAAAAAACCATCTGAAGTGGTTTTTTACCCACGAAAGCTTATGCCCAAATAAATCTGTTAGTCTTTAAGGTGCCACTGGACTCCTTGTTGTTTTTGTGACTATAAGCAATGATCTAGCATCATCAATTGAAAAGTCAGGGTTAGTTTGAATGTGTCAAAAATCTGTCTAGATTTGTCACTGCGATTCTTCAAAAGTAACCTAACCACATTCAAAATGGGGAAATGGAGAGCTGGTTTTAATGAGGTCTGTTTTAATATAGTGTCATGAATTCAGGTTGTGCTAATTACTCATACATTCCTCACCAGTGACAAAGGGGATTGAATATGTTTCCTCGTTTTTATATGCTAAATGGTGTCTTAGCCAGGCATTTATGGTAGCACCACAGTGTTCTAGGTGCTTTCCTAAGAGAAAAAGGCCCAGTCCCTGACCTGAGTTCACAATCTAGATAAATAAGTAGAGGGCAGGAGACATGGTGTAACACATATACAGTATGTGCAAACACAAAAAGTGCAAGTATAGAACATAAATTAAAATGACACATATTCACATCTTATTCTTCAAGCTTGTCAGTCAGGAAGCTTCCTGTAGGCATCATGGTAGAGGTGGGCTTCAGGAAGAACGTGTATTGTGGATGAGCTTAGAATATAGAACTATGGACAGATTTTTATACTCTGTGAAACTGGTGACCAAGTTCCTATGTGGTTGGCATTGCCTGGACTTTATTAATGAGACTGCGTGTGAAGTTGCTAAAAGGTACATTAAAGTTTAATCCAGCAGGCTTTTAACTTTTTTCGTTTCAAAAGTAGTATCATCTCTGGCATAATTACTATAAGCACTTGTTAGCTAATGTTCAGAGCTGAATAAAATAAATGACATACTGCATGAAAGTACATGAGAACGAGATCTTTCTTCTTTCAGATAAGCAAGAAGGACAAATTGGAGCATCCTAGAACAGCTACCATTACCCCATCAGAAAAGACTCATTTTAGGGTCATCGTCCGCTCTGATGAAGTTGAAGATGATTTTTTGGTGAAAGATTCTGTCTGTACGGTACTGAAACCTGAGCCAAGAACTCATCCTCTGTTTAAGCAAATAGAGGCTAAAGATTCTTTTGCGTCTGCAGTCATAGAACCTCTGCTGGAGATCCCTCAAGAATCAACTACATTAGATGCTGATCATCTCCCCGGCCCATTAACAGATAGTCCTTCAGAAGCAAAACCACCAGCAAAAATTGACTCTCCTTCAAAAAAGAAAGGTATTAATTTTGTATTTAAAAGAACTGGTACATTCCCACAGAGTTTTCTGTGAAATTTGATGAAGTTATCCAAAAACTGTAGCTTTACACTTTCAATTTTGAGATTTAAATACAACATTTTTAATTTAAAAAAAGCAACCAGAAAAACCTCATTGACTGCAGGCCAACTAACCTGCAGGCATTCCTATTTAGATTCCCATATGAACAATGTTCAGAGTGCAGAAAACCATGCCTCCCACAGCACTGTATTTAATACATGTATTAATCTCAAATCACCTAATTGTTATGGCAATCAACAGGGGTGCACAAGCGAAGCCAGCACCAGGGGCCTCATGATATTTACTTGGATGACTTGAAGGCTTTGGAACCTGAAGTTGCTGCACTCTACTTTCCCAAAAGGTAGCTTGGAGTTAGTGTTCTAATATGGCAAGGCTTATATTGCAGAATAATTTATCTGTTAGTTTTAGGAGTGAATGAGCCAATTGAGATAAAAGAACTGAGCCAATCCTTGTTCAAAATTCAAGCTTGCCTTTGAGCGTTTAGAGTATTTAATAGGATAAATCAATATTGAACTTGTTATATATATCTCTCCTTCTTGCCAGAAGTAGAGAGTCAGTGAAATATGATGTGAAAGGCTGTTGTGGTATTTCCGTCCCAAATGAACTGAGAAAGTGCTAGGGCATTGTGGGAAACTTTAAAATATATAGCTATTTTGGGGAGCAGTATTATTCCCAGTAATTTGTCTTGTGCTCATTTGTTTTCCCTTGTAACTGGCATAACTGTTTTCATGGAGTGAAATGTGTATCCTTAGTGTTACTATATAAACTGAGCATTTTTTCGTAAGAAAACATATGTAACCTTTTTCATATTCTATCTAGTTAAAATGTTTTAACTCCTAAGATACTCTCCAGTATGTCTTTCGAAGAAGACCCTAAAAAAGAAACATCTAAATTCTACAAGCTTTACAAACGGTCATAAATCATCTAGTATATCTGCTTGAAACTTGTGTACTATAATGCCTGTTCTCTTAAATTGGATCTGATAATGTGGGCTTGAGGGAATACTGGGGGCAAACTTACAGTTTTGTCAAAATTGGTGGAGTTCAAAATTATGGTGGGGTACAATTGTGCCATCAGACTCATGGAGTAATGGCCCAGTACTGGGGGCTTCTTCCATCAAGTCTGCAAGTTATCAGCCTCTGGGTTATGACCCCCAGGATATCACAAACAGGGTTCATGGGATTGCTACCACCTTCCTTTTCTTTATAGCTAGATGTTGAGGGATCCTGACACTTTCCTGTGGTAACATGGGGTGATATGGAAAAGCTGTTCTAGCCTATCCCCTTGTCAAAAGCAGGACTGTCATCAGTGCAGCATTTTCTCATGTATTCTGTTCAGTATAATTGACTCACTCAGTAATTTGCTTAGAGACTATATTCAGAGTCTTAAGCCTTTAATAAAGGCTAACAAAAATAATTTTTTATTAAAACGGTATTTTGCTACAGCCAAGCATGGATTATTTGAAGGTTTCAGGGGCATCCAAAACCTTCAGATAACTGCGGGAGCCAGCTAGCAGGCTTTGAACCTGAACACTAACTTGAGCACAGATTTTTAGACGACTGGTCTCCTCCTCCTTTCCCATCTGGCTCGAAAACTACAAAGGATCTATGCATGACCAAAATTTAGAAGCTGTGGTGACAGCCTAGTCACCATAGGTGAGCCTGTAATCCTGTCATCCTCCTCAGTCTCCCTCAGCTTTTCTTTTCCTGTAAGATGCCTCTGAGCTCAGAACTCCTCTGTAGTTTGGGAACTGGCTGAGAGAAAATGGTGGGAGGAAGATCAGGATGGGGGGGGGGGGCGGGGCAAAAAGGACTGCAGCAGTTCTTGGGAGCAGGACTGAAGCCTCTCCCTCTAACTGTAGAGTTCCTTCATCTGGGGAAGCGGCCGGTTTTGGAAGAAGTGAGGGAACAGGATGAGCTCCATTGAGTTGGCCTTTAGAGAACCATTTATCCAATGATGTTGATCCTTGCTCTTTTCCAAGGCTCCAGGGAACACTTTTCAGTTAATAGGGTTATAGATAAGTGAACCTGGATAATCAAGGTTTTAATTTGCTTAAAATGGGAGTTAGTGAAAGAAGACAACTCTCAGCATAGCAGCACAACAATCATTTTATGAACAAACAAGAATTAGTTTGCTTGTCTTTGCCTCAAGGCTCTACTTTCTGTCATATCACTTACAAAAAGCCTGCTAACCACATGAACTGCAGTTGGGAGCTCCAAAAGAACAAAACTCTTTAACAGATTCCTCCTCCCTTCCTGTGCTAAACAGTTGCCAGTCTTAAACTGTATCAACCATAATCTAGGATAGCCAAATTATCTAAACTCCTCCTGATTTTTACAGTGTTGGAGTGGCACTGAGGCCTTCATAAAATCAAAACTTACCATTCTAACACTGGAAATACAAATGTAAATTTGCGTTAGTTCCCTTGTCAAGAAACTACCTTGAGTATCATGAGCTTAAAGTAGTTATTTATAACTAGAGTGCCAAAACACATCCATTTCAGTGTCTGAGTAGAAGTGGAGTCTAAATTGGCTGAGCTAAGGAGATTGCTCCAAGTTAGTTAGCAGGTGCACTTTAAAAAAAAAAAAAAAAAAAAAGGCAGCATTGTTTGTCTAAACTGGATACTAATTGAATCCAGATAGCAAGAAGACAGTAATATTTACTGATTAAACTAATAGATTTCCTACCACTGACAGTGTGCTGATTCAAGACAAGCAGGTAATTTAATTTAAAAATCATTTACCAAGCAATGTCAGCTAATAGTACACAGTCCAGCTTTCTTTTAAGTTCATTCTTATCCAGCCACACTTTGGTTCTAAAATCGGCAAGAAACTCCCTCCACCCTACCCCACCCCACCCCGGATTGACTTCTGAAAACTACTCCCTGCAGTCTGTATCCTACAACTTTTCAGATGTTAAGTAAGCCTTTCAGTTCTGGCTCTGCCAGTGTGAGTTGTAGAAATTCACTATGGGCATCCTGGAAAATATATAGTTTAAAATCTAAACTAAACAGTAGTTTCTAGAGTACATTCATTCCTTCCCTTCTGGAGATCAGGATTATACTGTTGCTAAACATTCAAATACTTTTAGTAACTGTTAGTTTCCTTTTTGGAAATCAAAATTAGGCAATATTTTGCTGCTTTTTTTGTTTTGTTTTGGGGGGGAGGGGAAAAAGAGGAGAATGAGACTGTTTGACATTATAAAATACATTAGGCCATATGCTGTGTGTAACAGTGTAGTGGCGTGTTTTGTGTATTTTAGTTTTTCAGAATATTAAAAACAAATAAACCCTGAAAACTTCAGTAGGAATAGTTTAGTCAATGTCGATCTCTAATTCAACTATAATGAAGCCCTGACTCAAGCATGTGCTTAAGTGCATTCCAAAATATTATCATGAACATGGGTGCTTGTCTTAAGTTAGTCAAATGACCATTCTAAGGCCAAGATTCTGCTCTCATTTAAACCAGCTTTGTACCAGTGTAACTCCAGTATGACTTCAGTGTAGTTATTCCTGATTTATGCCAGTGTAAATGGGAGGAGAATTGGGGTCCTCAGTCTTTCAGCATTATCAAGAGTTTTTCTTTTTTTTTTAAAAAGTTATTTAATTACTGATCTTTAGGTCCATGAACGTATTCAGTTTTCAGACCATTAGACAAATAATCTCTGTCTATTTCTTAGAGCCGGATTGTTTGGTCTGGATCATTACAAAATAAATTCCCGTCCAAAGAATATATCAGTAATGGTAGAGCAGATGACATTCCATTTTAATATTTCAATCGTGAGATGAAAGGAAATGTTAGTGAGAGAAAATACCTTGTGTTAACATCTGGATGCACAAATACTCAGATTTCCTTTTTCAGAAAAGATAGGTGTCAGAGTAGCAGCCGTGTTAGTCTGTATTCGCAAAAAGAAAAGGAATACTTGTGGCACCTTAGAGACTAACCAATTTATTTGAGCATAAGCTTATGAAGTGAGCTGTAGCTCATGAAAGCTTATGCTCAAATAAATTTGTTAGTCTCTAAGGTGCCACAAGTCCTCCTTTTCTTTTTTCAGAAAAGAGAATCTGGTCGTTGTAGAACAAATCTTTAATTTTGTAACAAAATATATTTGAAATACAAGAATATCTAGTGCTGGGATTGCGTTTTGTATCATGTGCTGCATGTAATACTGTGGTTGCATATACCTTAAAATACATACATATATGTATGCAAGAGAATTACATACACAAAATGTGAACTCCTTTCCTCTAGTGATTCTGATCCAAGTTCCAGACCATGGACTGAGTCAGATACCCTCTCTGGTTCCCAGTCACCACAGTCAGTAGGAAGTGCTGCTGCTGACAGTGGCACAGAGTGCATGTCTGATTCTGCTATGGACTTGCCTGATGTCACGCTTTCTGTCTGTGGAGGTCTAAGTGAAAATGGAGAGATCTCTAAAGGTATGTAAGTAACTAAGTCAAATTAAGCCAGAAATGTGAATTGAGTACAGCCTAATGAAGTTACTTAAGGTTGCTATACTCTTACTTTAGAAGACTGACATATGAAGCTGTTAGTTTTTAATTTTGATCTACGTGGGGAAGCATGAGAGAGCTGAAAACATGCTTGTATTTTATATGCTTTGGGTAAATCGACTACTGTGGAATCATATATACAGTATAAAACTCTCAAACATTTGCAAAGGATAGATGATGTGCATTTATATTATGGGCGGATCAGTCCAAAACTAGACAAGAAAAGCTCCTGTCTTCCTGACAGCTGTTTCTCTCCTTCTGCTGCACCATGTGTGAAATGTCTGACCACCATGTGTGAAATGTCTGACCACGTTTGGTACTGGCTCCCTCTGCGTTGCTTGCTTTGCCATTGTATAAAGCTTTAAAATTGTGTTTGTATCCCATTGCTTGATATACTTTCTTCTTTTTAATCTCTTGCTCAGCAAGAGGTGTCGGATGGCAAATGTCATCACCTTGGACTATCCTGCTTTAGAAGTGAAGGTTCATCTTCCTTTCCCCTCCCAAAATATTTCCTTATCCTGATCTTTTCATGTCACGTTGGTTTTGTCTCTAGTCTTTCCTGCTCGATTATTCACACTCTGTAGAAAGTGAAAGTTAACCATACATGCGTCTTACTCTTTTCTCCTTAAATTACACTTATTTCCTGAACATAATGGGATATTTAAGTTTTAGCATGTGTTTTATTCAATATTCAAGTTTTGCCATAAATATTCCTCTCCAGCAGACAAAGGGAGCTTAATTTTTTTTATAAAGTCCAAGATTGATACACATTTTGAATGTATATCTTGGTGATGTGATTTGTATAAGGTATAAAAATCAGACTTGAATTATAAAAAGCTATATTTAAAAAAAAATCATCCTCATGTGGAGCGGGGAAAGGGGGGGTTAGTGCACCGGAGGGAGAACATAACTGAGTAACACTGAATTTCTGTAAGACTGCATAGTTGCTGTCAAAAGCTATTCTAAGTAATGGGTACTTGTTAGCACTCACAAAACAATTGTTACTTGTAGGTTCAATGTGTAGATTTCATGATTTGATACACTTAAATTTTCATTTTTAAAAAATAAAAAGTAAATCAGTCTCCCTCCTGTACTACTTTACTTCTCGTTACTGTGACTGGTGGAGTGGGGGTCTGGAAGGTGAGGCCCTTCTGCAATTGAGGAATTGTTCATGGTAGCTTTCATGTTTTTCACCTATGACGTGGACCATTTTCAGCATCTCTTTTGGCTGATGTTAAAAAGTCAGCAAAGGTAATTGAAAACTCAAGGAAAAGGATTTATTAGTTTGTATACAAGACAATAGATTTACTGAAGGCAATCTCAAAAAGAGGAGGCAAAAATAGTTAATATTTAACTGAATTGATAAAATGTTCTTGTATTGCAGAAAAATTCATGGAACATATTATTACTTACAATGAATTTGCTGAAAATCCAGGACTCATAGACAATCCTAATCTAGTTATACGGATTTACAACAGGTAATTTCCCATTATTATAAAATGCTTACATTTCATATAGCTTTCCTTTTTTAGTAATACATTTTAAAGGCACTATATCTTTCAGTTCAAGTTCTAACTTGTATTTCCATATGTATTTTGTATTTGTGATCTTTTGCTCATGCAACATGCCTTTGAATTGCAGATTAAAGTCAGATTTGCATTTTCTAAAGCAAGATCTAGCAGCATTTGTCACTAACAGTAAACAGTGTGCATTAGGAAAACTATTTGGCTTGAAGCAAACATTAGTTGCATGTTTTTATGAGCAGCCTACAACAAAAATCAAACTTTATTACCAAGCAAAGAGCATGTTGCACGCTAATCAGTTATTTCTGCTGAATCCAGTCCATATTGTAGCTTCTCATCAAGACTATCTCCTTAAACCAGGTACTATAACTGGGCATTGGCTGCTCCCATGATTCTCAGCTTGCAGGTGTTCCAGAAAAGTTTGCCTAAGGTAAACTAACACAAACTTATACTTTAATGCAACTTGTACGTACGGTAATACAGAACTATAATTTTAATGTGTGTATATGTGTGTGTGTATGTATGTGTGTGTGTGTATATATATATATATATATATATATAAATATAAATATATATAACTAAACTAAACATTTTCAGGCTACAGTAGAGTCTTGGGTTAAAGACAAGATGCCCAAGAAATCTGGAAGATGGTGGTTCTGGCGCAAGAGGGACAGCATGACTAAACAAGTAATTGAAGCCTATTTTATCTTTTAATGTTTATGTGAATCAAAATCAGATGTGAAATTTTGCTCTTAAATGCATCAGACAACATGTGCTGATCAGATCTTTGGCAGTCAGTGCTGTAAAACTGCATGTTCAATTATTCATCAATATTATGTAACTATTTAAACTTCTTTTGAGGTTTAGAGACTAAAATATCACTAGTAACATTACCAACTAAACACAACAAATTTGGATTGAAGGATCTTGGGGCTTGTTTAAATGCTCTGCAGTTTGGATTACGGGGGTGTGAATTGCAGCACGTGCTAGCATGCTACACTGTAACTCCACTGTGTGGATGCTGTTGGCACAAGTTAAATTACGTAGTTTGTGATGCTGGGTTCCTTTTAGTTCATGCCAACATCCATATGAAGGAGTTACGGCACAGTATGCTGCAATTCACACCCAGTAGCTCCCACTGTGGGGCCGTTTTTACATAGCCTTTAGTTCAGATTGTCCTCACTGCAAACCATCAATTGTCTTCAAAACTACTTTTCAAAGAAGTTGCGGTGTATTTTGGGACCTCCTATAAAAGGGAAATAGAAAAATGGGCAGTGTTCTGTCAGTCTGCCCCTTACATAATTACAGCACTCTAATTTTGACTAGCTATTTTAGGTTGATTTAAGCTTTCTTCCAGTACTTTGAACATGCATTTCTTTAACTTCAACACTTATTAGGGTTTATTTTTAGTGAATTTAATGTTTCTAAAAGATGTTGGATCGAGAGTCTTGATTACTACAAAATGGTCAGTAGGAGTGCCAATTTCCATCATGCTCTCCTGCACACATGCCACAACACCAAGCTTGGAGAGGTCCATTTCTAAAGATGGCTGTCCCCAAGCCCATTCATGGTCTCAAGTGCTACTGAAAAGGCTAAAAATTTTAATACAATTTCTATTATAGGAATATTTGCCTGCTAGGATCAAGTCTTGTACTGATTTTATCCTTTTTGTTTTTTAAGACACTCATAAGTGACTTGGTTGCAAGATTTGGATCATAGATGGTGCACCAGAAAGTGACTGATTAGAGCATTATTTACGTTAGTTAGTATATGGTTTGCAGAGTCCTTCCTGTTTGCCTACAAAATTAAATATTTTGAGGAGAAATGGTCTATGAAAGGATCTCTTATGAAGTAGTCCCCGTAATGAGCAAATTTGAGTATCTCATACAGATAGAGTAGCAAATTTACTGCTTATATGATAGCTATTTTGGTTATGCCTGAAATTTAAATTAGTTCTTGTCAGTGCGGATGCCTAAAATGTTGGTATGTTCTTGATTCTTGTGCTATCTTAGCTACCAGAGGCAAAGGAGGGGAAGTCTGAGGCACAAAGAACAAATGACCTGCCAGCAACTACAAAAGAACAAGTTAATAGCAGGTGTGTTCCTGTCTGAAGATTCGTTTGCAGGCTCAATAGTGTCATGATTTTTGAAGAATTCAATGAGGATTTACTGTGAGAAGAAACGTTTCCTCTGAGCTACTAAACAAAAACAGATAGTTTCAGCCAACACTTCCATAAGAAACTGTTTGGCAGTAAACAGTTTAGGCACTAGCAATGCATATTAACTCCTTAAATCATATGAGAATATGTAGGTGTATGGTGTCTGTTGGTTTCTTCTTATAAAATCCTAATCTTCATTGGATGATTTGCACAATATGCCCTCTTTTTGGGGAACATACAAGAATCAAAACAATAAAAATAGTATTGACTGTAGTGAGTGAGTCACCCAAGAACATAGTTGGGGACTAGTAGCAACCAGCACAAAACTTCTTTCTGTCTAGTGCTAGCTGTTAAAAATAAGTCCCCATAATGTTTTGTTCCCTTGCCGTCCAAGATTTTAATAAGGGGTGAGAGTAAGGTTTAAGAAAGTATCTAAGTGTGCCATGGTGGTAGGAATACCCCAGGAAACTTAAATGTAACTCTAGTTATTTTAAATCCTGAAATTTCACATTAATTGGCAGAGAAATAAAAACATACAGGGTAATCTTTAGAGGTTAGCCTCTAAATTGTGTAATTTATTAGCCCACCTTTAATCTTTGGTCTCAGAGAGCTGTCATTAAGAATTATTATAAAGTACCACCACTTGTCCAATATTCCTCTTCATCTATGGTGTACCTAGTTCAAGAGCACAGCAATAGTGACAAACTGGTCTCATGTCCCTACCCAACCTGAGTCAGCTCCAATGTAAATAGCATTGTTTCAAGGCTTCACCAATACCAGGATGTTACAAGACATGTCTTCCCCACCCTACTAGCATACACTAGCCCTGGTTTGACACATGGTAACACACAAACCTCAGTAATCTGTAGTGGAGTTTCCCATCGTAGTGTGGTTTAGCCAGATTAAGATGGTGTGGGCATTTTTTTTCTTCAAAATACACATTCTATCCTAGATTAAATCTGTATACCTCAAGAGCTAATTTTCTCAAGGCCATGGGAAATCCTTGATACAAGCAGAAAATCTTGATATTTAAAATTGGTCTTGCACATATGAGAAGAGATGAGTTTTAAGCCAATACAAAAACATTTTCTACAGCTTACTTTTATTTTGGTTGATGTCATATTAGGCTGACAGAAGATGATTCTTCTAGTGATGAAGGGTCACAAGAGCTGAAAGAATCCCTAAAAATAGATTCTGTCCCAGTGGAACTTCCAAGCCATGGGAACACTATCTCTTATAAGAAGTCACTTAGATTGTCTTCAGACCAAATAGTAAGTGGTATATTTTTGCATGTTGCAACTCTGATAAGTGTTCTGTTTTTTTCATATTGAGTTTTTCACTAAAGTTTCCAATAAAAATAAAGTAGGACCAAAATAATTTATATGGGTTCCTATATTTAGCACTTTGGACACGGAACGACTGGATTTAAAGGACCTCTGCTTCCTTGTACTATGTAGGAATGCTGCAGTCTTAAAAAGACTTCGTAGTTCTGTGTTACGGTGAAAAATCATCTAACAAATATAATCCTGGTAATTGTAGTCCATATTTTTTCTGCAGAAAATAGTCAAACCACTATATCAGGACCTTGCTAAATATTTGATCATTCTTTCTCATCAAGGCAAGAATTTAATTTCCATTTCTGTCCCTTTTTGAAAGTGACCTATACAAGTAGGAAAGGATAACATCACCTAAAGGCTGCATCCACGCTGGCAAAAGTGGGGACCCATAACTTATCTGGGGTGTCACTTCACCACAGTTGCAGGAGTGGAAGCTGGAATGCAGCCAGGCCTCTGGTATCTTTATTATTGTTCTGTCCAGGCTTATTCTGAACAGAATTAGATGACGCTGTGGTAAAAAAAAACACTACAGATTCTATCCGTGGAGCTCCACCAGTGTTGAATCCTGGTCCCATTTTTGCTAGTGTACATGAGGGGGGAAAAAATTCTTTCTCTAGATGAGGAAGAGGCACATATTAGTATTAATAAAAGATGGCTCAGGAATTCTAAATATAGATATTACAGATGGCCTTGCATAATTAGTTCCTTTTCATCTACTTAGATATAATTAGATGCTCTAGAAATGGTATCTTTGCGAATCTTGTCTATTTGCATCAATGAAAGTTAACTCAGTAGTAAAGAATAGCAAGGATTTTTCAGGAGGAAGATATACATTGTTTTTTTAATTCTTTTCACCAGAAGATAATTGCTGATGTAGAATAATGCTAAAATAAAATCGAGGATAGGTTCCTTTACTAGCAGAGGGAGAAAGTTGAGAAATTACCAGGATTGTTTCTTTTGATAGGCAAGAGGGAGGGTTGTTGTATCTGGATAGTGCACCAAACTAACATTGGATTTTGTGAAATGGCTTTAATCTGAGGATGCAATAAATACATAATTACAAATCATATTTAATCTGAATACACAAATAGATGTGTATGAGCACCCACGACATTTCCTATAGCTCTTTTGCTAAAACTCTTAACTATGCAAAACACTTTAATAGTTTTGGTTCATTTTGAAGGCAAAATTGAAGCTGAGAGATGGTCCAAATGATGTTGTGTTTAGTATTACAACCCAATACCAAGGTACTTGCCGTTGTGCAGGAACAATATACCTCTGGAACTGGAATGACAAAATCATCATCTCTGATATTGATGGAACAATAACAAAGCAAGTACCATTACATCATTTTTGCTTTTATTTAAATTTGTTATGATATGTTTCACTGTTGTTTATAGCACCCGCCTTTGAAGAGCTTATAAAGAGTGATTCAAAGGGAGCTTGAATCCAGCCTATCCTCTAAGTTTACATCATAGAGAGAATCCCAATGCAAGATTGCTGATTACAGTATTCTTCAGTGGTGTTTGACTGTAATTTGTACTTTTACTTACAGTAATCTATGATGAGAGTTTTAAAAGAATAATATAAATGTAGCACCATTGTCTTTCAGTGATATCCTGGGTTTTTTCCCTCCAGTTTAGTGGGTAGCTTGAGACTGGGTGTAGTGACTTACTGTTGCATCGTGGGCTCACTAATGGCTCAATCCAGACAAGCTACCAAAGCTTTGCTGTAACCTCTGGAATCTGTTGCACAGAGATTCTTTGAATCTTCCACATATATTTGTTGCAAAACAAATTCAGTGACATGTATTATTTTTATTTTTAATGCAAAATCTCTCCTTGTATACTTAGTTCTGATGGTTCTTGTTTTTAGGTCTGATGCCTTAGGTCAAATTCTCCCCCAGCTTGGCAAGGACTGGACCCATCAAGGCATTGCAAAACTCTACCATTCCATCAATGAGTATGTATCTTACTTTGAAATATCTGGGTATTTGGGATTACTAACAAAATTAACATAAAACAGATTAACTGAGTTTGATTTAGACCACCTATTCATAACCTAAATAATGAAAAATAAATTGTCTGCTACAAACTAAATTATTTTACATTAACAGAACTTTCTAAAACATGTGCTATTGCTTTGCCCATCAACTACCACTTTCCCTGGTAATCTGTTTTTTTTCATTGTATTTCCAAAGAATAGAGTCAGATTTTAGTTTTAAAAATTGTAGTTTTATAACAGAAATTCTAAAGACATTCTTCACTGTTATGCTGGTTGGGAAGCAGAATTGTAGCAGTGTTCTTCAGATTGCAGTGTCTGTTATACTTTAAAAGAATCATGAAAGCACTTAACTATTTTGTAAAAGTTATTTGAAATGTAAGTGTTGGGCCTAAACTGTGTGCTTTCAGCTATTTATATCTTGCATAATTTTATACATGTAAGTTACTGAACTCTACGTGTACAGTAATTAATGCTGCTTCTTAAAAATGTTCAATTTTTTAAAAAGCATAGAGTCTAGTAATCTTTTAAATTGTTCAGATTTTTTAAGTTAACAGATATCTTTTTCCTTCCTGATTTGGTCCTTTGTGTGGCAAATACTTTTCAAAAACATATTGATGGCACCACTATTCACCAACAGCCCTGGGAATAGTATTTAGCTGCATTTAGTATTGTGCCTGAGGGATACTAGATGAGTAATTGTTTGGGAATATTTTCAAATAACTTATTTTCAATACAATTTTTCTAAATTGAAGTTTAGAATCATTGCCTTGACAGATTAGATTCGAGGCCCTGAAACCTTCATGCTGACCTCAGATATAATGCAGAGGGCCAAATGTTGCCTTTTCATGCCCATTACTGTCAATGGGAATTGGGCAGAACTTCAATATCTTATGCATTGGAAGCAGCAATCTTAGTATTGTGGGTCAGATTTCATCAGGCCTCTAAAAATGCACTTGCATCCACTTGCACGCACAAAACCAACACTGTGAATATGCTCAGCTGAAGCTTTTTTTCATATGAATAGATGTGCCTGGAGAGTCTGCAGGAGCATTTTTAGAGATTTACTGAAAACTCATTGTTGTTCAGCAATTCTGACGTGACATACTGTAACTAAATATTTTTGCCTACAAGCAACAGCAGAACCTTTTAATATCCAGAAATGGAGTCCTTATCTGCAAATGCACGTTTAAATAATTGCTATAGCTAATAGTGGGGGGTTGAATGAGAGTTGGATATAGGTTTGTTTACAAAATTATTATTTTTTGCCAATTATACAGAACCACCAGGTTGTGCATAAATCTAACCTGTAACAGTGTGATCTTCATACTTAGTACCTGCTCTACTTTCCCCTTCACTATTAGGCTTGCTTTTTGAGTCTTTAAATTATTATGGACTCTTCAAAGTAGGCACAACCTCCTCTTTCTCCTGAGTGTACAATGAGATTGCTGCCCTGATTGGTGCTTCTAGGCACTACCATAATACAGAGCTGATCTTAGCAAAAAATTTTTTTAGCTGGAATATAAATTAAGCAGAATATTCTTCCTTAGGAATGGCTACAAGTTTCTGTATTGCTCTGCTCGTGCCATTGGAATGGCAGATATGACAAGAGGGTACTTACATTGGGTGAATGACAAAGGAACAATCCTACCCAGAGGCCCCCTATTATTGTCCCCCAGCAGCTTGTTCTCGGCCTTTCATAGGTAAGCACATAGGTATTGGCAATTTTATTTGTACTAAGGAGGCATGGGAGTGGGAGGAGGTAAATAGAAAAGGTTTGAGAAACTGAGTGAAATAGTTCATAAAGCAACCATCATTATGCCATTGTTTTTATTTTTACCCCTGCAAACTGAAGAGGGCCCATGGCTTTATTATGACCCCCTGAAACCATTTGCTCATTCCAAAATGTTTAATTTGCAATGTAACGTTTGTGATCATGTGCATGTATTAAAAGCTGTTATAGCAGGTAAAATATCAGCCCAGTAAAGGAGGTGTTTGTCCACTCCTCTTCCTCCCATCCTGTGACTGACACTAAACATAAGGTTCTGTACGTATCAGTAAAATTCTGTCCAGAGAAGTATGGCTGCAAGAACTGCAGAGTTGAACTTCCACAAGCTAATCTGGATTTCCCATCTCTTCACTGCCACACTGAGTGGTATTAGAACCTTGGGAATTCTACATTGTGACGAATCTAATGATTAATATTACTTATTATCAAGAACAAATCTAGGAGGCTGAACATTTCTGGGTTATCTAAATATCTGAGACAATCACTGCTGGAAACTTCAATAGACTAATCACTTGTCAATGATGATATCTAGTTAAGGTAAAAGTAATACAGTCTTAAGAAAAGTAAAATAAAAATGAACTGACACAATAAGTTGCGGCCAGCAGTGCCCCCAGTTCTACCCCCACTAGTCACTGGTAAAACTGCCATTGTCTGCAGTGGGAGCAGGTCTGAGAGTAGACCTAATGTGTTCCTACATATCCTCACTTGCCATTTTTCCTGATCTGCTTAAATGATCCTCTGAGGTGGCAGAGACCTTGTCAGAACAGTTATGAATTTGGTATGGCATTAAAATTTACCAGCCCAGGCACAGAATCTGTTGATCTGCATTTTACTGTGATTCCTCGTAAAGGAAAAAACGAGTTATGTTTTACTGGTCTTGGGCAAATGGATTTTTTTTTTTTTACAGCTGGTACAATATCTGCACATTTGAAATTTCAGCCACACAACGTACTGTGAGAATGCAAACACCAGCTGAATAGGGGGAATTACCCCTTTGAAATGGTGATTTAGGATTCAGTGATTGTGTTCAAATTTTATTCTAGGGAAGTGATAGAAAAGAAGCCTGAAAAGTTCAAAATCGAGTGTTTGAATGATATCAAGAACTTGTTTGTGCCGAGTAAACAGCCTTTCTATGCTGCTTTTGGAAACAGGCCCAATGTAAGTCTGCACCTTTCTAATTGAAGGGTCAAAACACCCAAACAATTTTATTTGTGAAGCAAGGGAAATAAGGGGTTTTTTTTTTTGGTCTTTTTACAAATGTAAGAAGGCAATTGAACAGCTTTAATTTATTAAACACCTGATGACATTTCCTTTTTATGACCCAGTCATATAAACACACTTAGAAATAACTTCACTCATGCAACCGTTCTACTGGCTTTGGTGGAACTACATGTATTAGTGAAGTTACTCGTATGTAAATGTTCTCAGAAACTGGTCTTTAATAAATATAGGATAACATTCCATCCTTTGGTGTTTCTGCAGTGGTGTTCTGAGAGCCAAAGTTTATTAATTCCATAGCAATTCAATGCAGAAACTTTCTTCTTGCACACAATTCTCACTTTCCTCTCCCTGTCTTGTCTTCAGCCACATAGGTGCTGAGCCCTGAACTAGCAAGGAAGGGATGGGTCCCAAAAGTACTGCTTTTCCACTCCAGAAATGGAATATTCCCCCACAGAATCATTTTGTTGTTTGTGGCCTAAGGCCTAGGAACAAATCTTACTTCCCAGACTCTGGCTGGAGGTTCATCTTATTTGCTGCTGTATATTCTAACCCCTTCTATGCTGTCTAAGGTTTATGGCTTCTAAATATGTCTGATGCTTTGCATGTCGTCTTTTTAACTTTTGAAGAGCCAAATTTCAATTACTTCAATCTGCATTTAAATGTATCTTCATGTTCTTTCTGTAAAGTTTTTTTTTTCTATTGAGCAGTGCTCACTCACATAAGGGAATCTGAAAGCAGAGTAATTTCCTTCTGCACCATTGTTCATGCTTTCTGCAGGATGTATATGCCTACACGAAAGTGGGAGTCCCAGACTGCAGAATATTTACAGTGAACCCAAAGGGTGAACTGATCCAGGAACGGACAAAGGGAAACAAGTCCTCGTAAGACCACTTTTATTATTTCAAATGGTCAGAAGAAGTATGGGGGGCGGGGAGAGGGAGACTGAGCTTCGAGCAAGGCAGTAACCATTGTAACAGTGATGCTGTAATATGAAATCTAAAGGAATTGTGTGTAATCCTGCCTACTAGCGATCTTCAGCCTCAGATATTTACTGAAATTTATTCAGTAAGAAAATGTAAACTAAAAGGTAAAGTGGAAAATAGCTTTTGGAGGAACACTGTCTCTTTGACTCTCGGCTTTTGGAATTACATTTCTAAAGTTGTGCAACAATAGAACAGTGACTAGACTGTGAAATAACCCTCTTCTTTTTCTGATGTAGGTATTTCAGGCTAAGTGAGCTTGTGGAACATGTGTTCCCACTGCTCAATAAAGAACAGAGTTCTGCTTTTCTGTGCCCGGAATTCAGTTCCTTCTGCTATTGGCGACAACCATTTCCTGAGGTGAACATGGAAGACCTAGCCTGAACAGCTCTGCTCACCTGGAGATGGGATTTCATATCCAGTCATTCAACTTCAGTTTAAATGTGAAGAGAGAACTCCTGTTCTGGAGATGCCAATTTATACATTGGTACCATGAGTCTTACTTAAGACAATACTTTAAGTCTACGGGTTTGGCACAAACAAACAAAATGCCAAGTTTCTGTAGCTCTGACTTTGTCCTTTACTTGACTTTTTAAGGCATTTGAGATCAGCCTATATGATAGCAGCAGTACTGAGTCACTGGCGTTTTCGCTGCATCTATGCCTTTCCGTAGATACAAAACTTACCTTCAATACAGACTTTTTTATATTAGTCTCCTTAATATTTTTTTAAAAAATAAGCCAAAACATGCATGGAAGCTGCCAAATAGACTATCAGCCAGGTTATAGCAGTTACAGACTAATTTTCAAATTGGTCATTAGGCCATTTTAAAAAGGAGTAACTGTCTGAAACAACTATGGCTCCATTCCTCATAAACAAAATATAGAAAATGTCTTCAACGTTAACCACCTGACAGAAACGGAAGATATAAAGTCCCTCCTGAAATGTAAATAGTATTGTCACGTGTACAATCTAGTGTATATTCAAAGTAGAGGCTGAGCTTGTGCAGCACAGTGCCACTTGTTAACTCTGGCTCTTACATTTTTCTAAACATACAGTGATTTGACCATTTTATGAGCTTCTTACTTAACGTCCTTATTTTAAATCGAGCTGTCTTGAGAAGTTCCAGTATGCCTTTTGATTCTTGAATGACTTCTGTTATTCCCAAGCTGCAACCTTCCATGTCAATTTTCAATTCAGAGAAAATTGAGAAAAAGCTTTACTGTAATAGCTGAGAAGTGGGCATTTCTTTACCCCATTGAAATGCATATGTGTGTGCACAGTGTGTAGGCGAGTAAAAAGCATGTAAAGATTATATTCAGGGAGTTGTCATTGAAGAAAATTATGTATTTAATTTTTTTAATGGAATCTACTGCAGGCCTTTCCAGAATTCTGTGTTAAGGGTTTTCAGTTGTTGAAGGAAGTACAGTACAGCAGCGAGCCCCCTGGTGTAAGGTCTGAGTGATCTGAATGCTGTGTAGCGGAGCAGAGCCAGCGGAGTTTTCAGGTAAATGACGAGCATTGCTGTGTGGCTATTCCTTGGTTTCAGACCAGCTCCTATAAACTACTGTATTATGCTAATTGCCTCACAGGCCTAATACTTACCAACTCCAAAAGCAGTTTGCCTGCAGTCTTCACTGGGTATCCAAAAAGTTAGTGAAAGCAAAGTTTTTTCCTTTTAGTTTGTACAGCACCCTTCTTAAGAAGGGTATAGCATAAAGCTGGAGTGAGATTCTGTGCTGTGCCTCTTAGAGGTGCAGAGTGGCATTGAGGATGTTGACCCTAGGCTGTCAGTGAAAACAGCAGATTTGGTAGATTTTTAGATGGAATCTTTTATTTCCTTTGTCAGTCTGAGAATTCTCCCTGTGAGGTTCTAACACAACAGGAGCTAGCTCCAGCCAACTGAAAAACAGATTCACTGAATATCATTTGAAGTAGGTTATTTTTAATGAATAGCTCGCAACAACTGGAATTATAAGCAAGGAGATGAAGTTGCAAAGGGGACTTGGCTCTTTCATGAAGGCTGCGGTGAAGGAAAGGAAAAAGCAAGTTACATCAGTGTGAACTTTTCTGTGCCATATAAACAAATGATTTAAATGGCAGCCTCATTAGAGTATATGGTTTTCATGGTATGCTAATAATCATTTCCACAGAAAAGTTGGCCATTCCCCAAGTCTACTTAGTGGTTAAGTAGAGGGGACTACATTTCTTTCATGATCCAAACAAATGTCTAAAGATGTTGTTTTATAAGTTAGTATTTGCAGCAGCCATAATTTTATACCAGGATTACTCAATCAAGAGCCACAGTCTTTGTCTATAATGGAAGCAGTAGTGGGCTGCAAATGCTATTGCTGGTTTATTTCACAGGTTCAGATCAGAACCGAATGTGGCCTATTTTATAGATCACTGCACTGAGCAAAGACTTATAAACCCCAGTCTTTAAAAGCCCGGTCGGTATCTGTTTTTATTTCTTTTCTTGGTTTTTTTCTAATAGGGAAAGCCATTTCACAAAGGGTAAAATTTTCATAAGTTGCTTTGAAAAATCAATGAGTTACAGGCTATTAAGTGAAAAAATTTCCCATCAGTAATGAAGCAATCTTTCCACAAAAGGAACGGACCTGTATCTCCTAGATTAGTTCTTCTGTGGTAGTCAGAATTTCCTTCAGCACTTTCAGCTAATTATCTTCCTTGGCTAGTTTTCTCTTAACCTAGGTTTGCATGATGTCTACAGTTTGACACATGCAGTGATGAATTCTGTGCACTTTATGGTGGGGACAGGGTAAAATCAACATAAAACCTGTTTTAAACAACCAACTGAATAGGTTAAAATGTCTCCTTTAAGCACCAGTAGTTTAAATTAGTGTGAGCACTTGGGTTGTGTTGCAATTTTGGGATGAATTTTTGGCATTTGGAATTTCCAAAAAGCTGCTGAATAAATATGCTGCCCTTCCACTCTGTTTGTGATGATTACAATTCTGCTATATAGGTTTTGATACAATGCAAAAGTGTTCTTGAGTCTTCCTGTTAAGCAAATGTTTTTTTTATTTGAAACCAACTTGCATTTGGAGCCCTACTCAGATTGGATGATAATATTTCTTTAGAATCCATTTTGGGGACTGAACTTGGGTGTTCCATGCAGACCATTACTTACATACACAGGGAGGTAAAATGTCCAGTATTCCAAACAGTTTCTAGAAAAGACATCTCATTAGCGAAAACCTACCATTTGACAGTTCTACAGTATGAAGTGGATAGATCAGAATTACACATTAGTCTGCTTCCTTTATTTTACCTTAGTGGAAATAGATGGTTTGAAAACAATGTTTGTGCTAAGCCTATTTCAGATGAGCACAAATTAATTCATTCTTTCTGTGAAAGAGAGGAGCTTTTAAGTGTGTGTACACACACGCACACCTCTTTTAAGACTGTTGTTGAAGATGCAGATCCCCTTTGCATTAGAACAGTGTTTGACACCATAAACTTCCACAATATTTATCTGCGGATAAAAAAGGAACACTGCAGTTCAGATCTGGTCAGTCCATTGGACACTGCCCATTTCTATAGTGATTAAAGATCATAACTTAGTCACTTGTATGTATAGAGGTAAACATTTCTGGATTTCTTTTTTACTTTTGTGTGTTTAAGCTTGTAATCTTTTTTGAGTATAGAAGTGCAGGTGTGATGCTGGATCATGTATTCTTAGCCTCGTGACATCATTATACTGTTTCTAGAACATAAAGTCTTCAACTGGAAAAGTCTTAACACTTAAATCAACTAAATTACATAACTTCTGACAAACTCTGAATCAATCTGGCAATTGTAAGCCAAATGGGTAAAAAGATGCATTTGACATTGTATTCAGGTCTCCTAGAAATAGACTCCTTGACATTTGAAGGAGGAGTTTAATTACAACTTCATTATGAAACATTAAAAGTGTCCAGTGAATTTTAGATGATTTTGAATTGTCACTTTTGCCTCAAAGTTTTGTTTCCTATGTTAAATCCTGCTAAGTAGGATGAAACTCTGCTTCATCTTTTTTTTAAAGTGTTAATTATCTCCAGATGAAAGCTGCATTTTGGTTTGTTTTTCAGGTGAGGGTCAGCAGAACTCTTTAATACTTTCTATTTCATTATTAATTGAGAACATGTGAAATAGTTGATTGTTAAAATACACAATCACTAATAAGTTAAATTATCAACTCTGTGAATATGCCAGTACAGTGGTCTTTGTAAAGACTGGACTGTCTTTAGGTAAATAACCTACACTTTGGTGCAATGTTTATTGATGTTCAAAACAATGTTGCCACAATAAACAAACTTAAACTAAAGAGGTTTTTTCTCTTTATTCTTTTTAAAGAATGAAATTCTCATTGGCTCTTATAATAGGTTGCCAAAGTACTAAATAAGGATGTATGTAAACCAGCATTTCATATTTTAAATGGAATCAGGTTTATCTAATGAAAATACCTATTTAAAAAAAAATCAGGAAGAAAAGCAAATGTTCCTTTAGAATACTTCCAGGGGCTGATTAATGATACACAGTTACTGTAAGGTTGCTGATATTATTCAATTCTGTTACCTGTACTGATAAAAGTAAATGTGAGGTACTAATATAGATCACGTGTCACTCACAGTCTACTAGGGAAGTTTACTTGTTCTAGTCACTTGCTATTTCCTACGAGTTACTTTTATCCAACCAGCTTTTACACTCTATTCATGATAATCCATCTGATTCAGTAACTTTAATATGGGACAGTAGTGAATTGTGTACAGAAATACTCACTAGACAAAAATATTTGTGTCTTTGACTCTTCGCAGTATAAATGAATAATGTGTGCCCTTCCCACCACTTAATCAAACACAATTTCCTCTTGTACAGAGCTCTATAGCTGGGCCCCCAGACCACTTCAAAACTACTGGAGTGGGGGCTCTGCTACAGCACATATGGTGCCACTTCCTGCTGTACTCTACCCACTATCTGCCTGGGCATAGCATATGTGGCAACTTAAAGTAACAGATTTGCTGTCTCTTACATGGCCACAAGTAGCATTAAACATGGGATTGCCAACAATATTTACTGAAAGTGGCAGACATAATCTGTCCCCCTTCTAGATACAGGATTCCAGACAAGATGGACAAACATCAGGACTAGAATGGCAAACCCTGTAGTTCAGTGTGCGTAGACCTATTGTTAGGACTTTGTTAGACTTTGCATCTCCTAATGTCTCGGAGCACCCATGGCAATGGAAGAAGTTGACAGAAAGACTAGTTGTGGTGCTGCTGGGTTTGGAAAGAACACAAGTTCCAAAAAGGTATGCACTCAATGCAATTTTTTACCTTGAAAAAGCAGACCTATCCAAGGCTGTATCATTACTGAAGTATGTCAGATTGCCCTCTCTGAATCAAGTGTCTCTTTCCTCAGCTCTGGTGTGGGAACACTGTTCTGCACCTGCATCAAAGAGATCTGTGAGGAGGAGGATGAGCCATCTGAGCAGAGGCACCAGCTGAACTGACTGGCTAGCTAAAAACTGCATCTGCAATATTTCTATTCTTGTAGCTAAGACCTCCACAAAACCTAGACCAATGTTTCAAACTGGATGACTCAGAGATGGCCTAAATCCCAGGCAAGAGCCAGGTGGAAATTGTGATGGAAGAGCCAAAGGTGAATAGCAAAGCAGTCTGTTGTAAAATAAAAAAACCCACTACACTTCTGCTGGCTGTGCTGCACATATTCTCTTTCCAAGGCTAAAAAGAGAGGCTAGACAGTGCACTGTTAAGCTTTACTTTCCCTCCACTTACACTCTTCCTAGACATTACTCTATGCACTATCATACAATAATGCCCCTTATTGAAAGCTGTCTATTGTAAAATCCCTCATGTTTCAGATAAATAGTATAACTGCTTAATATTTAATATTATACACTCTTAAAGCATATATCATATAACTTAACACAACACCAACTGGTTTTTATTCCTACTTAATTTTTTAAGGATTGTTCTTTCATGCTTCGTAAAGTCTGGCACATACCTTGCGGGTGATTGATTTTGGAGTGAGTGTGCGTCTGACTTGTGATGACACGAGACTGACTTGCATTTGGTTCCTGTGGCAGTGTGGTGTTTTGAGACTTATGTTCTCTCTTGGTCCATCTGTATCCTGCTGATCAAGTTTCTGTGGACTGCATATTTCACTGTCCTCTATTCAATTTCTTTCATTAATACTTGCTGTAGTAAGGCTGGGGCTAGACACCATGATACACAAGCATCTTAACATAAAGCATGGTACTGGGCTACTATTACTGCAGTCTGTGGGAGTGTTTCTCCACTCAAGAATTGCTAGCCATATATTTGCTTTGGCTTTTTGCACTTTTTAAAAAACAGTCAATGCTGTGATGTGACTAAATTCCTATTCTCAGGTAAGTTGCACAAACTCAGTAAAAGTAACTTGTGGTCTGTCTGAATCTAAACAGTTTGGGATACCATGCTGCTGCTTTGTCTATGGTGGTTGCTATAGTGGTTCATCTAGTGCCCAGAAATGAGGTTGTGTTTGGTGAAAAGGTCCATTCCTACTTTGCTCCAAGGTCTGTTGGGCAATATTGTTTGTTGTCTTTTAGCTGCTTGGTCTGCATTTCCCCACATGTATCACATCTGCTCACCAGGACTCAGAAATCCTTCGTCATGTTTGGCCACTATGTTGAAACTGTCTTTTCGGATACAGGCTTCAATTCTAGAATAGCGCTGACAAATACTTGTTTGTTCTCCCATGATCTGGGTATTATGCTTTGACTGCCTTTATATATGATGCTATCTTGTAAGCTCATCTCAATAGTCCTAGTATTCTTGAGAGGTCTTCATGTGTCTGCCCATCCATAGAATGACAGATGCTAGCACTTGTAAATCTTTGTCTTGTATGTTTTATTCTCGGATTCTTTCCAGGCACATAACAGGCTCGACTGATGTTTTCTGTTAGACTGAAGATCTCATTCATGTTATATTTCCAAGCTGCCTGGCTTCTCTGGATAAGTCAGCAGCAGCACTACCTCCTGTACTTGGCTATCACTAGACAAAGCTTTTTTTTTTTTTTTAAAGGGAGCTTGCCTGCCAGCTGGGTTTCCCTGAGCGCTCAGCTCGCATTGTTTCCATGAGTCATTTCTAGGACAGCCACCAATAGTGTAACAACACTTGACTCACACATCGCCTGGAGCCAACTTCTTAGAGCATAGTCTTCTGGGAGGAGTCTCTCACTTCTTTGCCTATACTAGGAGCAAATTGGTTGTCCTAATAGTTGGCTCACAGAGAGTGAGGCCATATGGTCTATGTCTACACTAAAAGATATGGCTTGAAAGCATGAAGCAGACTTAAGGCAGAGGAAAATAAACTCCCCACCACACCCCCCCCCTTAGCATGCTGTATGCTAAAGCAAGTAGCTTTATAAAACACTTAAAGCTGCACTGTGGTTTCAGGGAAAACAACATATAGCTTCTAGGGAAAGAAGGGAAAGACATTTGGTGTGCTTTCTGTCACTGGCTGAGAGACAGCAGCTCCTCCACTTAGTAGTTTTCCTACTATACACCACACAAAATCCTAGCCTCAACTTAGCTATAACTTGCTCACTGGAAACCAAGAATGTGCCAACAACTTTTGCTGAAGATTGTGTTAAAGTTCTAACAGAGATTCTGATACTTTGCTTATAAAAACTATAGTCAAACAAATCTATGAAGAAACTCTGACTCACAATTCCATGATAGAGTAAAATAGTTTCTTCTGTAGCACATGTATTAAGCTTCTCAAGCTGAGCTATTCTGTTTCCAAGCAATGAACAGAGTTCTTAAGTAGCTTCCCAAAGCTACCACCTCAGCTGTAACAAGATGTTGACTAGATATATATTTATCATACCTCATCACAGGAAAGAGTGCTTACCTCCTAACAATTGTATTCAGACAGAGACTAAGAGCTGTTCTGGATTTATCAGTAGAAAAGTTAAAATATTTACACACTACTGCTATAAATAAAACTATTAAAAACATCAGTTTATAGATTTTACAAATCTGCAGCACATTCCCACTCAGATATGCTGTTGGATTTTTTTTCTAGCTGCAAAAGGGATCAAAATACTACCAGATTTAATGAGCTAAAACATAATTTGACTGGTTACTTTAATGAAGGCACAAGGAAATCTACAGTGGAGTCTAAAATTGATTTCATCTACTCAGGCCAAAGGGAAGCCTGCTATCTGGTTGCAGTACATTAGAGTACATAATGTAAAATGCACTCTTGTCTGAAAGTTTGTCACTGCTGCTACAAGTAATGTAGTTACTAAAACAAAGACTAAAGAAAATGTTTTTCAGTTTACTTTGTGTATTTGACAGCACACTAGCTACAGCCAGCTTTGATAGTCCCTTCTGTGGCTGGTGGGTTTGACACGTAGTATCAGGGCAAAGAAATTTTTTTCTTAATTGTAAAACCTCTGAAAATTGGTACAAGGAAGTGTAGTTTTTGAAAGGTAGCCCAGTTGAATGCACCTTTTGTAATAGATCATAGATAACAATTAAGTTTCCCATTGCTAGCTGTAGCACTCATACTGGAGGGAAAGATGAGGTTTGTTCTCAATGTTTTTTGTCTTAAGCTTTCAAAGCCAGGTGCTATGACTCAAAGGAAGCTTCTACTTGTCTCACTTTCTGCTGATATGGGAAAAAGGAACTCAGTTTTGCATCAAGTACTTGAGTCAGGGCCAAACTCTCCCCTTACATGTGTTTCCAGTTGAATATGATGTGATTGATTTATTTTGCAACTGAGAATGGAGGTTTGCCCTTTGGACAGCCAAACAATATCCTTTTTGCCCAGAGTAACCATTGTCCATAATTCCCTTGAGCTAGTTTTCTCTTAAATGAAGGCTGCTGAACCAAAGAACAGTTGCTCAGATACTAAACAACCCAATATCTGGGCAGAAAGCAGGTCAGTCCTATGTAATTATCACTTCCTCATCTCTGCACGAGTGGAAACATGAAAGTAGCAGAGCAGAGGACAAGAATTGTAGGATTTCAAATTACCAGGTTTAGGATTATGGAACTGATGGTGATACGGGGGAGGGGGGGATGGAAATTGGCAAATTGTTTATTAAGGAGTAATAAAAGAGCAAATTAGAGAGCTACCTATGCAGGCTGGGTACAAATTTACTGTTTGTACAGCTTGGGGGAAGGAGTTAGTTTAACTGTTGTAAACATGCCTTTTACAGTGGCAGTACTTAAAAGTCTTGTGGGGAAGGCAGAGTTAAATACGGATCATAAACCCACCACTCAAATCAAGTATATAAAATGAATATATTAAAGCTTCAAATTTTATTTCTTCTGAATATCTTACCCTTCTTTTCACGAGGAATCTAGACATGAGCAATGGAAGGATAAAGAAGAACTCCACTAAATGTGGAGTACATTTCATCAGAGTCAGAGTAGGCCAGCTTGCCCCCAGTAACTACAATGTTTACTTCATCTCCTGCTTTCAGGTGAAGAACTAGATGGAATGTTCCAGCACCACCACAGGTTCGTTTCCTTGATCGTGGTTTGTGATACTCAAGCAGTTCTCTTCTATAGCCAGCTGTGTGAAGCTGAGCAACGCTTGCATTGGCGACAGACAGCACTGCTTCTACATACTCATCCCTTTCAGGAGCAAGGACAGCGGTGATCAGATAGCGCCCTTCATAAGGAGATGTGAAGATGCCTGCAAAGACATTTAATTAGTTTTACTGATTGAAAACTCTCCCGTGCAGTAGGAATAATGACATTCATTTTAAAACTACAAAAGTTATCCACTTGCTCATAACCCAGATCTCTGAATAAGCACTATAGAGGAAGGAAAATAAAGGCCCATTTGATATAGAAAGCTCACCACCCTCTGCTCTATCTGATGTCTTTCTTGGGCTGACAAGAGGCAGTTATTCCATAGCATGTGGATTTAAAGTGGAATAGTTATTCCAAATGACACCCATGTGTAGACAAGCCCTCAGGCTTTGTCTGGAGCAGGATTTCAATTTGTGGTGTTTGCTCATATTATCTACCCTGATATCATTACCACCCCCTAAAACTCTAGCCAGCACAAAGTAATAGTTCTGTACTGTGTGCCAAAGTTGATCGAGTCAAACAGTCGGGGGGCAGCCTAAGTAGGGTGGGCATCCAGAAAAATGTGGAAATCAAGGTTAGGGGAAAAAAATTGAGTCTGGGCATGGAGGACAGGTGCCCACCCCCCAGCTGGTGGCAAAAAGGAAGGAATGGAGGATTAGATCTATAAAGGGACTTCGGCATTATAACATTCAGCACCGGTGGGGGTTGAGGAGTGGAGAATGGGCACATGCACCAAGGGAGATGAGAATTGGGAAACTAGGAGCATGCTACACCCATGGGGACTTAAGCTCAGGACTAGGTAAGGGTATAGTGCTGACCTTGGCAAGTTTAATTGCCTCTTAGCAAAACTAAAGTGCCTCATCTTCACTGAGTTTTTACCTCAGAATAGCTCTCACAGTTCCCCTGAGCTTAAAAATACATCTTTTTGCATCAGTAAAGACAAGGCCTGTGGGAACTGGCAGGTTCACTACCTTCAACCTCAGCCTGGACCAGTCCACACAAGAGGTCCACTTCCTAGACACTACAGTGCTAATAAGCGATGGTCACATAAACACCACCCTATACTGGAAACCTACTGACAGCTATACTTGCCTTCATCCAGACCACATCACACAATCCATTGTCTACAGCCAAGCTCTAAGATACAACCGCATTTGCTCCGATCCCTCAGACACACACCTACAGAATCTCTATCAAGCGTTCTTAAAACTGCAATACCCACCCGCTGAAGTGAAGAAACACAGAGCCAGAAGGGTACTGAAAAGTCACCTACTACAAGACAGGCCCAACAAAGAAAGTAACAGAACACCACTAGCCGTCACCTACAGCCCCCAACTAAAACCTCTCCAGCACATCATCAAGGATCTACAACCTGTCCTGAAGGATGATCCCTCACTCTCACAGATCTTGGGAGACAGGCTAATCCTCGCTTACAGACAGCCCCCCAACCTGAAGCAAATACTCACCAGCAACTACACACAACAAACACCAACCCAGGAACCAAACCCTGCTACACACCCCAGTGCCAACTCTGTACACATATCTATTCAAGAGACACCATCATAGGACCTAACCACATCAGCCACACCATCAAGGGCTCATTCACCTGCACATCTACCAATGTGATATGTGCCAGCAATGCCCCTCTGCCATGTACATTGGCCAAACTGGACAGTCTCTACGCAAAAGAATAAATGGACACAAATCTGACATCAGGAATTATAACATTCAAAAACCAGTCGGAGAACATTTCAATCTCTTTGGTCACTCAATAACAGACCTAAAAGTGGCAATTCTTCAACAAAAAAAACCTTCAAAAAACAGACTCCAAGATGCATTCAAGACTCCAAGACTCTTAGAAGATGCAGAACAGGAAACTATCAGATTGGGAGTGGTTGGGTCATTACAAAACCTAAACTTAACTTCCTCAATACTAATTTCTCCCTACTATTACGCACACCTTCTTGTCAACTGTCTGTAATAGGCCATTCTCTTACCTTCAAAAGTTATTTTTCTTCCCTTGGTATCCTGCTGTTAATTGATTTATCTCATCAGACTGACCTCACACTTGGTAAAGCAACCCCCCATCCTTTCATGTATTTATACCTGCTCCTGTATTTTCACTCCATGCATCCGATGAAGTGGGTTCTAGCCCATGAAAGCTCATGCCCAAGTAAATTTGTTAGTCTGTATCAGCAAAAACAACGAGGAATCCTTGTGGCACCTTGGAGACTAACACAGCTACCACGCTGAAACCTGTTAATATGCCAGAGGCTCACAGTATTCAGACTAGGTGATGATGGGAAAGGAGAAGAATATAACCATTGAGATGAACGGTTTCAGAGTAACAGCCGTGTTAGTCTGTATTCGCAAAAAGAAAAGGAGTACTTTTGGCACCTTAGAGACTAACCAATTTATATGAGCATAAACTTTCGTGAGCCAAAGCTCACTTCATCGGATGCATCTGATGAAATGAGCTGTAGCTCATAAAAGCTTACGCTCAAATAAATTGGTTAGTCTCTAAGGTGCCACAAGTACTCCTTTTCTCATTGAGATGAAGTTTCACCACTCATCTGCATGCCTCCTGGGGTATGCAGTGGCAGTTGCAAATGTCATGAAGCTTTCAAAAGAGGAAGGCAGGCAAGGGAATGCCTCAACCACTCCTGGGGCAAAGGGGGACTCTAAATTCCTCCTTCACCCACTTCTCCCTCATCTGCGGTAAAGGCTCTGGGATTTGCCATCAGCCTCTCCTGGGCACAAGTAGTGTACAGAGCCATGGCCTCCAGCTGGTACCTGCACTTCTCACAGCCCCTCAGTTTCCACTTTCCTATAACCCTCCAAAGGTACCTACATCTAGAGGAGCCAGGAACTAGTGGCTGAGGCGCAACTACCTGTGTCCAGGGAACTCCATCCTTTGCCCCCGAAAGGGTCCTTCAGTCATGTCCCCCTCACAACCACCAATTTCTCAAGCAACAAAGGAAATTCACTAACCAAAAACATTGTTAAAGGGAAATTAATGTTGCTAAGCAGGGCCTTGTACGCTTCCAGAACATAGAAACTGGTACCCATAAACACATCTCTAAGAGATAGAAAACCAGGAAATGTAGAATTACAGTCATGCCTCCCATATCCTTAACTCTGCTCCGTCCCCTAATCCCTGCTGTGAGGAGTCATGGAGATTACAGAGATGGCAGGGGTGTTTAAATTTTCTGCTGCCAACTTTCATGTTCTGGAAGGATACAAGGCTCTGCTAAGTAACCTGAATTCCCTATAACAAAGCCTTTTTGTGAATGTATAGATACTTGCACTTAAAGGCTGGATCATCCTCCAGTGTCAGTGTGTGACAGGTAGTTTTAACCAAGGTGTGTCTGATTTATACTATAGAACAATGTATTTTGTTTCTCCAGCACAAGCACCCTGGTAACACTTAAGATAATCTAATAATGTCTCTATCCCATGATATTGCCCAACCAGCTTCCCAGCTCCCCTGTATGTCCCTTTTTGGCTATTACCTGTGTTAGGATTATAATAGTCTCCATCATTCACAAGCACTTTGTTAAAATGGACCACGCCTGCGTCACTGGGAAAAGGCTTCTGGGTAAGACCAGCCGAAAAAGACACCAGAGAGGTGGCAGCAGCAGTAGGTCCTAGAATGGGGAAGAGAACAGAATCCAGAGCCAATCAGAATACAGATGTTGCCTTTTACTTTTGGTGCTTATAGTAGAGTGAGTTTGTTTGTGGTCTTGCACACACATTGTTTTCTGTCAATCTGGAGAGGCTGGCATGAGTGCCACTGGGTCATTTTCCAATTACCTCACCACAAAAGGACCGAGAGCCATAATGTTTCCTCCCATATTACAACCCACCCACGAGCAGCAGAAGAGCTTGGCAACTGGGTTCACCTACCAGAGTGTTCTTTAACACATGCTCCTCTTGAGAAGAAGGGTCTGCAAGACGAATGGCCTACAGTGCCATGAGAGTGTTGCCATAGACTTCACTGGGGCCAGGATTTCAACTCAGGTGTTTCATGCTGCTTTCTGAGCTCCCTTCTTCAGGAGCTATGCCACCGCTGGCTGCTCCTGCCTGAATAATCCCTGCCAACTGTGTGCCATACTCTTCCTGAACTGGAGTTTTCTCATCTTAATCCTTCAGCCCGATTCCCTCAGCTTTGCCTGGTTCATCTTCCTGGCTGATATCCTTATTCACTTCTCCAGTCAGTGATAATGCCCTGCTCCTTTGCATGGTTTGTGCTTCCTCTCAGAAGATCATTCTCCACTACTGGACCAGCACAACAGCTCTCAAAGACTACCTCTGGTCTGGTTTCTCTTAGACACTCTGCACTAATGCTCTTTGGATTAACATTCCTATCTTTACAAAGATCTTACAGCTGAAATTGCTTCAGATTTTCATATTTCCCTAGTACAGCATCCACGCAGAGTTTTAACTACACGATACAAAAGAGAAATAGGAAAAAAAAAGACAACTGGGTTTTTTAGTAGGTAGTGAGTGGAAGAAGGTAATGCAGCCAATCCCACTCATACCTAATACCTTTCAAATCACTCAAGTCTGTCAGTGGCTCTCACAGTAGCATTTGGAGAGGTCGAACATGACCTCTTGCAAGGTCTCCACTGTGTGCCATTACCTACCAATTCTGTTCTTCCCCACAAGATTGAAGTTATTTTCTCTGTCTGAGTTTCAGCTTTGAAAACTCAGTATCTCAAATAAAAGCATGTTGCATTGTGGAACTACAAAAATAGAAAGAAAAGCATAAATAAAAATGTAGGTAACACGTGCTTTATTGCTACAGATAGGCAGGCAGTACAGTTTGTTAGCCAGGGTTCTCATATGCAAGAAAGTCCTTTGGTCAGTTTCAGAGTGATGTGCAAGTTAACATTCTGTATGCTCCTGTAAGTTAGACTCTGGTAGGGCTAATTACACCTACTGATATGGAAATGCATGGGGATCTAAGTTGATGTAATTTGTATGCTGAGGAGTCATAAGATAGTGGAGTTAAAATATTGGGGTGACCTAATTTAGCTTCCATCTGCTCCTGCTGCACTCCTCTCTTCTGGCTTTTTAGCATGTAAGTTACAGGACCTATGACTCCTCAAGACTCAATGGACTGTATTCAGAGATGAAATAGAATCCCACAACCAACACACCACACTACACTTCACACACAATTTCCTCTTCCCTCCCCCACGGAAAAGATGACAGAGAAAAATCATGGTGGCTAGCTGCCTAACCCTGCCCCCGCCCCCCACTTCCACCTGAATGGCCCCCCCACATACACACAGCTGGAGGAGCCCCGACCCTTCCCTCCCACCCATGATCAGCCCAAGCTGCTCCAGCTCTCCAGCTGCGCCTCCCCTCCTGAGACTCCAAGCCACCCCATTCTTCCTGAAGAACCTGAGCTTTTAATCATATTAATAAGCAAAAACTTCCCTCATGCAAACCACCAAAATTTGCAACTGGGAGTTCACTGACAGCAGCTGCACCGGGGAGGCTTAGCCTCCCCTGGCCTATTATACCCACCGCCCATGGAAAGCATGAACCAAGATGTTCATCAAACTGCTTAATGCATCGGAAGGCACTCAGATACTACAATGATGAGGATAGTATAAGAACATGTATAGAACAGTATAGAAAAGGAAGCAGAAGTCTGTAAGTTACATGTCAGTCAGTGTGTGAGAGTCTGTCTGAGTCTATGGAAGTGTAACTTACTCCCTTTCAGATGGTGGGTCCTGGAAGGATGAAGTTACATATCATAGACTCTCTTAGATTCACCTCTGAAATTGCCCCTAAGTCAGTCTAGGGGCTTGTCTACACGGCATGGCAAAGCGTGCCAGAGCAGTGTTATATTAATGTGGACTAGGTATCTTTTGCACTGCGCCAGTAGTGTCTACCCAGGGCAGTTAGAGCACAGCACATTAGTGTTTTTTACAACTCACACCGCTGTACTGCACCTTGCTGGTGCCATGCAGACAAGTCATAAATAGTTTGAGGGAAGTCAGGTGGTATAAAGCGCTGTAGCTCCTCTGAAGTCAATGAAGGTACATTGATTTACGTCAACTGAAGGTCTGGCCCTGAGGTGTGTCAGGCTGTTTGTTTGTTTGCAACACTTGCCACTGAAGTCTGGCCCCCAAAAACACTCTCTCTGCTTAGTTTAATTAGGTTTCTCCCCTAGATCTGTTAAAGGACAAGATGCAAGCGAATTTATGTTCTTCCAAATCCCATCTTTGAGTTCAAGGTGAGAGAATGCTCACTGTGTCACCTACTTACTGGTCCCCTTAAATATCCACGTCGCCTACCCAATTCCTCTTCAAATATCACATACCTAGACATCAGCCAATTTCAGCAATTTTTAAAACAACATCTTTGCAACAAGCTTTTGTGAATTGAGCTCTTCCCTCGAGCCTAACAAGTAAACACAAACAGTAAATGGCTAACGGTGCAAAGGAAAATACAGAGAAATTATTTATCTTAGGCTCACAGATTTAATACAAGCGAATGCAAACCAGAGTATTGTCACCATCATTGGTGAGAAGAAAAAGTTCTAAAGTGATGGATAGAAACCAGACACGGTCGTAGAATTTACGGCAAGAAAGGACCACTAGTAGTTCATCTAGACTGCCCTTCCATATATCACAGGCTACCACCACCCAGCACCCGCACACCAACATTAAACCAAAGTATTACAGCCCAAAGGATAGTATAAGAACAGTGAAACTCTAGTATAAGTATGCAATCTTCACAAACTGTGTTAATGAAGACTGTGGACAGGGAAGCGTGAGAGGAAATAGTTAAGGCATAGGACTGAGAATCAGAAGATCCAAGTCCTGTTCCTGGCTCAGTCCTTGACTTGCTGTGCGACTTAGGGCTCTTACAAGCTCTCTCATCAATTCCCAATCCTATTTGCCATGGCCTGTGTCTGAAATTTTCTCAACCCCTAATGAGCAAAGATTCTAAGAAAATGGCTCCAGACTCCATAAAATTCTAGTATGTCAGTTTTATCTGCTGCTGCTATTTCTGTCAACAATGATTTAACTAAAATTGTTCTGTAGAGAGAGAGAGATTAGGAGGATCCACTTTGATCCGGTGTCATTTAATCTTTCTTTGTTTCAGCTCCTTTGCCTGTAAAATACAGCTAACATTTACTTCCTTACCTCATAAATGAACTATAAGATTTAATTCATTAACATCTGTAAAATACTTGAAGAGCTTTGGATAAGAAGTGCAAAGCATTATTTTCTTGGATTTTTTAAATTTTTATTGAACTACAGGTGAACTTGAACTTTAGCCGTTAGTTGTATGTCAGTGGCTATTCCTGAACTTGAAGAGGTTAGATGAAATTCTGTGATACAGAAAATATGGAAATTATCACCCAAGAAGAGGATAAGACCAGTCCAGGGGATTGGAGCAGAGCCATCAACTCGGCACTTATAACACTTCCAAAACTGTAGAAACTATACAGGAGAAGAAAGAGTGCTGGGTGGTATGGTCTAGTAATCTAAGGCTTGAAAAGCCTCTTGTTTTGGGAAGCACACATTCAAATACAAGAAGGGTCAGCTCAGCCCTATATTCTTTTGAGAGAGAAACTCAGAACATAAAATTGATGGGATGTGCATCTTTGGATGAGAAATTAAAAATGGGGGTCCTGCTCTGCATGGATGTTAAAGATTTGATGACACCTAGCAGGGGTTCTCAAACTTCATTGGGCCACCCTTCTGACAACAAAAATTACTACATGACCCCACGAGGGGGGACCGAAGCCTGAGCCTGCCCAAGCCTCACTGCCCCAGGTGGGGGGAGGGAGGGGCAAAACCCAAGCCCCACTGCCCTGGGTGTGGAGGGGGCCCAAGCCCAAGCGCTTCAGCCTCAGGTGGGGGGCCTGTAACCTGAGCCCCACCACACAGGGCTGAATCCCTCAGGCTTTGACCCCAGGTGGTGGGACTCGGGCCCCGGCTCTGGGCCCCAGCAAGTCTAAAGTCAGCCCTGGCAACAGCTGTTTTGAGGGGGCTAATTGCTATTCGCTGCCTTTCAGTGATGTTTGTATGTGTACACTGCAATACTAACTACCAGGGTGCATCCTCAGCTCTTATAAACTATCACAGCTCCACTGACATCAGCTGAGGATCTACACCAAGGTTTTTATATCATGTTCATCACTGTGTTATATGAGTGCATCTGATATCTGAGTTTGTGAGGCACTTTGAGATGGAGGCTGTTACATATTGGGTGTGTATATATAATGTAAATAATACAATTATTTTCAGTTTTACTAATTATAGTCTAGGGCAATTAAGAAAAAGCATAGAGATTTAGCAAAGGAAATCTCTTTACTAAATATTCCTCTCTAGCTGGGAGATTGGGTGGTGTCTATTTCCTTTAATATATTTCCGGAGTGCAAATAATGGCTGCCACAATAAAACACTGTTTACGTATCTCAACATCATTAACATTTAAAGAATATTATACTGTTGTGTTTCATACAATTTAACCATCAGCCAGTGAAAATACTGTTGTCTATAAAATGCAAATACAGGTACAAAGGAAAAAAACACTGTGAGAGTAGGATCTTAATACGTATGTCTAGACATTTATCATGGCTTTTGTTGACACCAATACTTTTTTTCTTTATTTCTTATCCCTTTCCAGGACCCTAACCGATTGCTGCTTGTTCCCACCCCCACACTTCCCAAATACAAAGCCTCCTCTAAGGCTACATTAAGTTTCTAATCTGTTAGTTTTAACCTCAAGATTGTAGCATGAACTCTTACAATTGTCTTCATGTCAATTCCCAGACCAATTTGTCATGCCTTGTCTCTGCAATTTTCTTAGCCCCAGAGAACAGAGTCCTAAGAAAGTGCCTTCAGAGGCCATAAAATTCTAATGTTTCATTTTTAATCTGTTGCTGACATTTCTTCAAACAAGAATTTGATTAAATCATTCTCTGTGAAGAGAGTGTAGGAGGATCCATTTGATCCAGGGTAAGAATATTCATTGCTTAGATATAAAAAGGGCTAAACTAAAAGATTTTTTTAAAGGCTGTAGGGTAGTCAGATCACCTAGCAAACTAATATTTGGGCTAATCAAACTAATAATTCATTTATTGAAAGGTTTACACTTTTTGTAATCCAAATGTATTGGTGTATAGTGATGCACAGAAAGTACAACAGTTCAAATAAACGAAACTAGTTTATTTAACTAAACACTCCGATATAGTGCTTGGAACCTAGACATGCAACACTGAGAACCTGTAAGTTAAAATGAATATAAACAAAAGTGAAATTAGTTTCATTTATTTATTTATTTCTCTCCTCTTGGACAATGAAAGTTAAAGTGAACAAAGGGCATAAACAATGAAAAGTAAACTGGATTTTTTAAATAATCTAAAGTATTCTTGGTAAAATAGGTAAGCAATGTGCTTGTTTAAAATAGGATAATTAAGTCAACAATAGTGTTGCAAACTGAAGTTTGTGATATTTGGTGTTTTTATTAAAGCTCCAGCTTCTAGAGTCATATGATTATGTAAGCATCTCAGTTTTCATTTGAAAAGAAAAATATAAGTTATTAGCCCTGAGGGTTGCAGAAAAAAGTATGAAAAAATTAACCCTTAAAGGCTCAAAAACCAGAAGGCAAATAAAAAGAACCCCCAAATTATTATTTTTTAAAAATCAGATTTTTACCATCTCCATGAAACGAGTGTTTGATTTTTTTGGGCTTGACTCATTATTTTTGAACACTTGGGGTTGGCAGGACAGTATTAGAGTCCCTTTAAAGTTAAGGCTAAAATCCTGAAAATGACCCATAATTTTCAGTTAGTTCTCTCAGTAGTGACTTTCCAGGCAGTGAAAGAAAAAATTAAAATATATGTTAAGTGCCACTTTCTCCATTACCTTCTCATACTCCACATGCCCTGTGCATCCTCCGGGCCAGGACAGGAGTGCTAGTGTGAATAAAAAGGGGAGAAAGCTATCATCCCTGGTGGTTGTCCCTTTCCAGTATAAAGAGATCAGAACTGTGCTTGTGCCCTAAAAGCGTTCACATTCTTGCTCTTCAATTTCACCCTACTAGAATTTTCTATTTATGAAATAAGTGAATATTTGTTCAAAGAATTCCTATATAGCAACTGGATTACCTTGCGAGTCTGTAGAAGGTGGAGAAGATTTTGGATACCCTACAAAACAAAAGAAGTTATATTACACACTGAATAAGAGTACAACATAGTCTAAATATCACAACAGTTTAGTAATATTTTCTTTTTATCAATCAGCAACTCATTTAAACAAGTGCACAGTATCAGAAGGCAGAAACTCGTACCACTAAGACTGTTAAAAAAACGGTAGCAGCCATAGCAAAGGGGACCATGTTCCTCATTACAGTGCATCGGCTCTGTTGTGTGTACTGTGGCAAAACAGGTTATTTTAAGCTACCCTAGTGGTACGTATTTCAGAGTAGCAGCCGTGTTACTCCTGTTCTTTTTGCGAATACAGACTACTTGTGGCACCTTAGAGACTAACAAATTGATCTGAGTGTAAGCTTTCGTGAGCTACAGCTCACTTCATCGGATGCACGACTGAGGACTACACAGCAATCGTACTGAGATTATGCTTGGTGCAGCTTTGGCTGGGGAGGCGAAGTTAGCTTGAGGCCTTCTTTCTGTCTCCTCTGGTCCTGTTGCCAGCTGCGGCCAAAATAGACATCATACAAATTAAATTAGCCAAAGGCTGTTCTCAGATAACAACTCTAACATATGCCAGTTAAGCATCATTTCATATCCTGCAGGGGACTGGCAAAGTGCATCACACTCCAGTTCTGCCACCTTCTATCCTGTAGCCAGCCCCAATATGTCCCGTGCACCCACGACAGCTTTAATGTCACTTTGTGGGAAGAGTAACAAACTCACTGCTGGAATCTGACAGCTCAGCTTGTCTTACTGATTGATAAAAGGCCCTGCTAGTCTAGCATCTTAGCAGAGCTATGTGTTGTTCTATACTTCAACATAACGTAAGTCCGGAAACACTGACTTTGGGGTCTAATATTATAAAGTGATCACTTGGATAACATTTCAGTCTGCTCACCTGGTGCTCCTGCATATCCTTCAGCTATGGGCATGGTATACTGACCATCTATGCCTTTAGGCCGTCCACTTCCTGACATTACAACTGTGCCAGGAGGACCAGCCTGTCCAGTCTCCATAATGATCCCAGTTGATCCAGGCAAAAGTGGTAAAGCGGATGAACCTGGTAATGATGGTTGTAGTGGAGTTCTTGGTTGTGATGGCTGAAGAGGGGCTCCTTGTTGTGGTGGCTGTATTACTATTCTTGGCTGTGGTGGCTGCAGAGGAGTTCTTTCTTGTGGTATCTGCAGTGGTATTCTTGGTTGATTTTCAGCTAAGTATTGGTAGAGAGAGGAAAGTCAAATATTATCCATCTGAGAAAATTCATAAAACCCATTACATTTATACTTCTGTAAACAAACAATTAAATTGCGAGTTTTTGTTTTTCCTTTCTGAAGATAGAATAATACAAAAAAAATCAATGTTCTTCTGTTTTAAAAACTTTATGACACTGAAGGCAGATCCAGGGTCACAGTTTACTGAAAAATTCATTGTTTGGAAGGGTCATTGTAAAAGGACTTTTCCAGTAGGAGAGCCAGTGTACTGTATGATATCAGTGCCAGACAGTGTTGATGTGATAATAGTTGTGTAGCTGTTCTATTTCAAATCCCTTTTGATTGCATTTACAACATATTTGTAAAAAATTTAGTCCTAACTGAATCTTAGAAATGTAAGGTCTTCCTGAAAGTGAATGTCTGTTATTTGCATGGGGGGTTAATTTTTATATAGATTTAAAAGATAGGAAAGGTGCTAAAAAAAGTTTCTTAGTGCGAAGAACCTTACTCCCAATCCTTGCTCTCCATCAAAAACCTGCCTTATTCATTTTAAGCAATTCCATCTCTATTTGAATTAACCACAGAAGATAACTACTATAATATATACAATTTTACACTTGTCTAAATCCATTGACTTCAGTAAAATTAGATCTGATTTACACTGGTGTCGGTGAGATCAGAACAGGCCCATGAACTACACAGCATGGCAATGTATGTTGAGCTTCCATTTCCTTCTCTTTTTAACATTGTTATACAAAAATCATTAACATCTGAAAGGCAAGGACATTCAAAGTTAAGAATAGTAATTGCCCCTTAACACTGCTCACTGTGTAACATTTTCAAAAGGTCCTAAATTATTTATGAGCTTAAGACTTACTGCAAGTCATTGAGTTTCACATGCTCCTTGGTCTCTTAGTGTATGGATCTGTCTATACTACAACTAAAAACCGGCAGCTGGTCCATGACAGCTCACTGGAGCTCAGGCTAAGGAGCCGTTTAACTGTGATGTGTATGTTTGGGCTTGGGCTGGAGCCAGGGCTCTAGGACCCTACAAGGTAGGAGGAGTTCCAGAGCTCAGGCTGCAGCCTGAGCCCAAACGTCTAGACCTCTATTAAACATCCCTTTAACCTGAGCCCCGTGAGTCTGAATCAGCTGGCACAGGCCAGCCCGGTGTGGCTAACTGCAGCATAGACATTTCCCTAGGTGCGTCTGGAAATTTTACCTATTGTGCCTAAGTTGTACAGTACATATGACACCTAATATTATGCAATGAAGGTGAAATTCAACCCAGTGCAGATGTTGGCAGGATGGTATGATATGTACCTGGCTGTTTTTTTTGTATAGGAACATGTGAAGGCTGCAGGGCAAAAGTATATCATTCTATTGGCTGGCTACAGCGGTAATTACAATGGACATTGTGTGGGTGAAATGTAAAATTTTTGTCTAAATAAATTGGAGATTGCAAATGTATAGACTCCAGCGGTTTGAATCACTCACAAGGCCTTTTACATTGAAGGGGGAAAAAGTAGTATCTACCACAAATTCGAACTCTGGTGAACACAATGAAGAGGTATAGGGTAGTAATAATTTTAGTTTATTAATGTATTTGTAGTACTGACTTAGGCCTTGTCTACGCTACAGGGATAACGTAGCTGGGGTCAATGTAGCTTAGGTAGATTTACTGTGGTGTCTACACTGTGCTGTGTTGACAGGAGACACTCTCCCTTCAATTTACCTTAATCCTCTCATTCTAGGGGACTACTGCAGCCGACTGCGGAGAGTTCTCCGAGTTTGATTTTGCTGGTCTTCCCTAGACCTGCTAAATCGACCTGCCCTTCATTGATTGCAGCAGTGTCGATCCCTGGTAAATATAGACAGGGCCTTAGTGTTGGTTATTGTTTGCTATTTGTGGTGATCTTCATTTGACAAGTGAGGGAAGTGTACCTCCATTGTTTAGGCCAGTGTGGAAAATGGGAAGAGTTTGTGACAGTGCATGATCAATTCCTAATTACACACTGAGATATGCTGTCTGTAGTCCTGAGTCTCTAACAAATACGCTGGAATTCATAAGTGTTATTTTAGGACTGTTTTAGTAAGAACTTTGCCCTGCAAATGTGACATTTAATTGAAGATGACAGTAATGAGAAATCCTGCATCTTCACTCTTATCTTGGGTGGTTTGTTTCTTATTCTCCATCTCAGAAAAGTAAATTTACCCGTGGCCTTACACTCTTTTGGAAGGTTTATCTAAAAAATTCCATGCTCTCATAGTACCTGCATCATATGATAGCTCCCAATGAAAAAAACTCACTGGCCCTTCCTGGTTGAGTTTTGTAGACTGATACTAAGTTCTAGAACTGTAATGAGAGGGGAAAATTAAAGAACCAGGCACCACAAAGTTTTGCTGAAAGTTACCTAGGTAATTCTATCCACAGGATACAGGATTAAAGAATGGAATATACACTTTTTACTGATTCATATAATATTTTTTTTGCTTTCATCATGACATTAAACTACTGAAAAGTTATACTTTAAAAACTTTTATAAGAGCAAAGGTGAACTGCAAGTGTTTAATTTATTCCTAACTGAATAATACCTGCGTTTGATTTTTAATCTAATGAGGCAGTCGCTAATCTCAGTAACATGGATTTAAATCTGAAGTCCAGGGAGATCAGTAGAGTTACTTCAGATTTGCATTGATATCATTGACAACACAAACTGGCTCAGGAGTTTTATTTCTTGCCTGCATAGGTTTTTCACTTCTTTACCTTCTCTCCTCAGTTTAGTTAAGCTCGCTTTAGGCCTCCAGCCAGGGACACGCAGAATGAATGTGCATGTCTGACTATTCCCCCCCAACACACCCCAAGCTCTTACAATTTAAACCAAAAGCCTTAATACCTTTGTAACAATGTTTGGCCTGGTTCTGTGTGTTTAGTGTGGATATCTATACATTTGAAAATACCCAGGTATACCAACCCCATTTTGGAAAAAACTCATAGGCCAACTATCCAATGTGCGTGTTAGCTGAGAAGCATCACTTTTACGGTTCTGGCAGTTTTCAAATGCCTTTTTGGCCTTTTGTACTGAATTGCATCGTATCATGGCATTGTGCTTTAAAATCACTAGACAAAGACAATAACAGACAGCATATTTTTGGACTGAATATGTATTACTAAACCAAAGAGCGAAGGCAAAATTCCCTGGTGTAACTCCACTGAAGTTATGGTGCAAAATTAGGGATGAATTTGGCCAAATCAGCTTGTATTGTGTTGAGTAGCACATAAAAGAGAAGTATTCCCCATTGTCTACAAAGCAATTGGAAAGGCAAGCAGCAGAGCTTAGACCATTATTATTCTTCAAATTAGAGTCTCCTCAGGGGCACCCTCTTCACCAGCAGTGTTCACAGGGCTTTCTTTAGTATCACCCGCCTAGTCATTCTCAGCTTGCTGACCTCAGATGCCTGTCTAAATTAAGCTGAGGCGAAACACCCCTATCCAAAGCTTAAAATGCCAATTCTTTTTTTCCCTTGCTTTTAAACTCCACTGGTACTTTACTGAGAAAAAATACATTGGGCGGGGGGAGGCCGGGGGTGACAGGTATGTGAAACTCAGGTTGTACTTTGTCATGGTTCTGCTCTTTCTAGCAATGTCATGACTGGCAGATCAGTTCCATTTCCCTAATGATACATTGAGCAGACAAGAACAATGACAGGATGAAATAAACTAGAAACTACGTAGTCAGTGATTCCACTGACAAGAATCAAGAAGAGCTATGACTTCCAAACTCCTGTTGCTGGCAACGGATTTGACAATTGTCACGTTACAAGAGGCTGCCTGGTGTATCTGGCAGAGAATATACTGAAGTTTGTGCCAGAACTCCTATTACCAGTGTTACAGAAAAGTTTTTACCACACGTCCCTAGGTGTAGTAATTTAGGTATACACAAGGTTTCATAAAAAATAACTATAGCAGACTGCTCTTAGCAATTCATATGTTTGAAACCCCTCTTCACAGATAATTACAAAAAGAAATATAAGTGGATTGAAATAGTTGTAATCAAAGCAAACTCAAATCCTGAAGCCATTTTTGGCAGCAGACCACACTTTTTCTGGCTTCAGCAATGAATGGCAAAAATGTATTAACAAGCTACATCTAAAGAAGAGATGATTTTAGTGCCAGTTTTAGTGCAGTATCATTTCAGTAATATGCTTCTCTAAATGCTAAAGTGGCACAGAGGGTTACAGAGGACCTATTTACACATTTTATGGGATTATCTAGTCTACTTATTCATAATGAGCCAAAGCTTGCCCTCTTGCTCAGTCCTAACAGGCAAACTTCATCTGAAGTTCTAAATTACAAAGATTTGACCTGTGGTTTATATACAGTACACACAATAACTTATTACCCTGCAACATTAGTTTAGACTGAGTCATTTAAATGTTCTTGGCTTAAAAAGGCCTGAATATAAAATTTCAAGCCAAAGCAGCCATATTCCTGGCTTCAGACTAATTTGCCTTTGCTCAGTTTAGTTGTCTAATTGGAGCGTGGGAATTCTAAAACAAAACCTTATAGGGTATCCTTGTGTTACCACATTCAAACAACTGTAGAAAGAGAAATGTGTTACTACTCTAGTCTCCCAAACCAAAATGACATCATTTAAATGATACAATATGTTGACAAATAGTACCTAAATCTAGGTATGAATTTAATATTGATCTATAAGCCAGAACTGAAAAATCACCAGTTCAAAGTATTAAAGGTTTCATAGAAGATATTACAATAAGACTCATCAAAAAGTTAAATCTTAGTGGAATGGGCACATTGATAGAGACACATCTTGTTCCAAAAACAGTATTAATTGCCAAAGGGGAAAAGTACAAGATGTAACTGCCTAGCGGAGCAAGGTTCCGTAACCACTTCCAATGGAGTCCCTCTGTTGCCAAAAGCTTTTTGGAGCTGCAAACATCAAGACTTACTCAGACTGCTGTGCTGGATAGCATT